AAGCACCATATAGATGAAGACAACAGAGACAATGCTAAAGTGGTTGGAGTTGGAGATGATAATTGACCACACATTATCACAACCAAGTGAGATGCACTAAAAGAACTCATGAAAAATAGGTTAAATGAGTGTTCCCTTCGATCTCATTCCATATCGAATTCCGCAATTACATACCTGGCTGATCAAGGAAAACGGAAAATCAGATTATGAGGAAAAACCCAAAAAAAAACAAAAAAAACAAGAGAGGTGTACTTAAATTACCGTTTTGCATTAATATTGGCCTAAAAAAAAAATCTTGCTGGTGTATTAAACAAAACCTAAACGTGGCCAATACTTTTCATTAATCTGTAGACTGTAGTTATTATTAGAGATGTATACTTAAATTTTTAGAAAATGTGAAATTGGACAGGAGATGATGATTGGTTTTTACTTGAATTGTGAGAGAATCCTACTAATATATAGATTAAATTTAAATTTGATTTAACTTCATTTGGGACCACATTCAGTTTATAATGACCTATTCATTTTCTAATTAAGATATCTAACCATATAATGATTTTATTAAATTTGATTTAGCTTCATTTGGGACCACATTCACTTTATAATGATATATTCATTTTCTAATTAAGATATCTAACCATATAATGATTTTATTCTTGAATATATACACTAGATGCTAAAATAACTTTTATTTCAATCAATTAGGTATTCCGTATCCAAGTTAAAGGACAATCTTTACGACAGAAGTGAATCATCTCATGTTAAAATTTTAGATAAGTTGATCATATAAAATTTTTATGTTATCTCTTTCTTTATTAATAATAATATTAGACTTTACCTATTTAATGTACGTGAAGAGAAAGATAAATACAAAAATTTCATATAACTAAATTATGTGATACCATGTAAAGAACCTTGAGATACACCACCTCAAAAGCTAGCTCAAATGGTGGGAGTACTCAAGGTCTTATAAACTCCACATTAGTTTAAGAACCAATATGAGGCTATATATCTCACCATAACAACCCATATAAGTGCCTGTGGTGGTTTCGTTTGCTCATCTAATGGAGAATGATTGGGTGATTTCTCGTCCAGCATTGGTTCTTGCTCGCTCTTAGAAGCTGAATTATGGGGTATTCTTCAAGGTTTCAACCTGGCTGGTGATGTAAAATGCTCCAATGTTTGGCTTGGTTGTGATAGTAAAGAAGCCCTCTTCTGTATAGAGTCTAAAGCTGATCTGTGTGGCTTTTCTTCCTTAATTGGTAGAATCAAAAAAGCTGCTCACTTTTTTGATCAAATTCATTTGGAATATATTCCTAGAGAATCTAATGAATGTGCAGATAGTTTAGCTAAATTAGGTTTTAACTACAAGGGTGAAGAGTTGATGGTGTTTTCCTCTCCCCCTGTTAGCATTGTGTCTCTTTGGAATGCTTTCTGTATGAACTTACTGATGGAGCATATGTCTTTAAACATGCATCAGCTATCTGTTTAGTTTTCCTGGGCTAGGCCCTCCATTTATATAAAAAAAAAAGATGTGAAAAAAGGAATAAGCTAAAACTAAAAAAAAAAACTAAAAACTGTTTGGTTATTACTTAAAATTTTCAACTTAAAAGTTACTTAAGAACATATATTTTAATAAAACTCTATCTCTATCTCTAGAGCTCTTCATGTAAAAAATAATGCACACAATTCAAGAAAAGTAGATAAGATATTATTTTTAAAGCTCATCGTGAGCTTTTAATTTTTAGCTTTTTTCTTAATTATAAAAAAAGAGATTTTCATTATAAGAATTTTTCTCAAAATTTGTTTGGTCTAGTTTCTGTTTATAAGTAATTTTTAACTTAAAAAAAGAGAGTATCCAAACAGATACCAAGAATGATTTCAAACTCTACAAATTGCAATGTACAATATCGCTCTCTAATGCCCTTTTCCTCTTTTGGTGGTGGGTTCACATTGCGAAGCACATTTTCAGCACTCAAGGAACAAGTATTTTCTTTAAAAAAAAAAAAGAATATATAAAAGAAAATAATCATAAAAATAAAGATAGTGAAATATTTTTTTTTCATATTTGATAAAAAATATACTAAGTGTTTGGTATATTTATAGTCCACTAAATATTTTCCACATTACAATTTTCCAAAGCACACGTATGTAATGGGTCCTCCCTTAAACAAAAGACAACAATTAAATAATATTATAATTTATTTAATTTAATTAGTATATTTGACTAATGATATATTTCTATTTTATTTATATTAACATAAGGTACACCAAAATTTTTATAAATATGAAATAATATAGTAAATAAAATTTTTGGTTTGCATATCCTTTAGAAAAAATTATCAAAACGTAATTGTTATGTAGCTAGAAAATTATTTTATTAAAAAATAAGTTAAACAAGGGCAATTATAAATATTTTTCCGTTTTACAAAAGTTCAATTAACATGTTAAAAGAAATATAGTGTCTTTTTTTATTTAAATTGTAGACATGTTAAAAGCCCAAAGTCTTCATCTTTTAATCGTATATGATTTAGCTCAATTCATACTGCACTGATCTGATCACATCTTACTAAAAAAATTATTCGAAATAATATTTTATGATAAAAAGAACTAATATCTTAATAAAAAAATTATAAGAACTAAAATTCAAATAATTTTAAAAAATATATATAAAAAGGCAACTTATCAAATAAAATTTATAAAATGTAATATTAAAAATAAAATAAAATTTAAAGGTTAAATAATTTAAAAATATAAAGACCAACATTTTATTAAAATCATTTTTCTTTGTTAACTTTCACACTTAGTCTTAGTTCGCTTTATAGATGCTATCCGTACGTACCTCTTTTCCCCCCCTCCTTCCTTGACAAAAAGGCAAGAGAGAGAAGCGATTATGCATCACTACTTTCCTATCAAATACAACATTTCCAAAATTTTGACATGTCCGATATTTTTTAATATTCTTTGACATTTCTTAATACTTTAATGCATGTCGTAGAAATTCAAAAAAAATAAAAAAATTTAAAAGTTACATTGCGTTATGTTTTTTAGTTTTAATTGTTAAATTCGTTGGATTACTATTACTATTTTATTGAATTTAATATAAATATTTGTAATATCTTACTATTACTATTTTATTTAATTTTTTGTTAAATTATTGAATATTAAATATAATATACGCAACATATATTAAAATTATTATTGAATATCAAAACTTGTCAAAATATAATATTTTTTAGAATTAACAACGTGTCAAAATGCTGTGTCGTATCGTGTCCCGTGTCTATATTGGTACTACATAGCTACTTTCTATTATTATTATTTTTATTATTTAAAAGGTTATCCTAGGGCTCTTGAGGTGACTAATTGTTTTGTGTTGTACCTAATCCTGTTGTTATGTGTCATCTATACTTATTTAGAAAAAGATTATTCGAAGCAGCTGGCCCTATTTTGTTTTGACTATAAACAACGGAATTAATGTTTTAATGCAGTAAGGGATAATTTCATCTTTTATATATATATAAAAGTGTGTGAGATTCATATATATATATATATATATATTTTTTTTTTTTTTTTTCTCTTTTCTTCACATAAGCCCAACATACTTTTATGTACGTGAAAGAAATAAAATTATCTCTTATGAAAAATATTATTTTCATAAACAAAATATTACTATTCTAAGTTTCCTGAGCAGAACGGCTACCATATTAAAATTATAAGTGGAATTTTTGTATTTATGAATTAAATAGGTAAGACCTTGACAATTTAAGATAACAAAATTTAATTGTTGATAAAACTTTAGTACTATCATCACAGTAAGTGTGATGGTGATATTAATTATGTTTTTGAGAAATATATAATTATAATATTAATTTTTGTTTCTCTTTTCAAAAAAATTCGTTGGCTGATATGAAAAGAATTTTTTTTTAATATTATAGTTATATACTTTTTTTTTTTTTTTTTTGTAAATAAATTATATACTTTTTAAAATACATAATTATGATACAACCATCGCGCTTTTAAAGTTTTTTTTTTTCGTTAACATGATGCTTTCGGAGAATTGCTTGGAAGTTGGTCATTTATAGATAGAGGACAAGTCAAACAGGAAGAATTGGAGGTCAATGTATCACGTTTCCAATTTCTACTGTTACTGTGAAAACTGAAAAGGACAAAAGAAACCACCTGGACATGAAGAAAGAGGAAAAGCATGTTATTTGGGGAACACGCAATGTATTTTATGGCATGGAACTAAACATCTTTTGATTTTATGAATTTCAAATATTTGAATTGAATAATCTTTCTGCAAGTATAACTAATCCGCCCTATCCCTGTCCTGGGTGCTTTTAAAACCTTTCACATCATCTATTTTTTTTTTTTTTGGTAGGCCACATCATCTATTCTTATTAAATAAATATTATGTTTAATTGGTTTTTTTATTAATTAAACATTTAGATGATAGATATAGTATCAAAATTATAATTAAACCTGTTAATCCTGTAATATAAAAGTCCGGGATCAAGTTAAAACAAAAACCCATGATTGCAAAGTTTATTATTTAAAGAGTCTATATAATATTTTTTTAATGAATGTACGGGAAATGTTATATTTTTTTAATTTTACTGTCACAGTGATTTTTATGTCTAGAGTAAAGGATATTAAATAAAGTTTAGTAAGCACTGAGCAGGGATGAGGTCTGTTGAGATATATAATTTCACATTAGTTGTATGTGCAACTAATGTGGAGTTTATAAGACCTTGGACACTTTCATCCTTTGAGCTAACTTTTGGGGTAGTGTATCCCAAGATTCTTTACAAGATCATTAAATAATCATGAAGTCAAACACAACATAAATCAATTAATTCGGATTAGACAGCTTAAAAAGAAAGCCAGACTTGGACTAGAAATAGTTAGCGTACCGATCAAGAAATTTCAAGATTCATGTTCCAATTTCTTCAGTTAAAGTATTAGACAAAGTTGTCAAGTATGAGCTATATAAGTTGCCAAGAACTAGAACATTAGTTGCCAACTGGGTTCCAATTTGTTTGTTTTTTCATACATTCATCTGTGGCCGGTTTTTCATCTTTTGTGAAGGTTGGTTTCATTTATTCTTTTGTTTTTGAATGCGTTCTGATCACTCTTGTTGCTATTTTACGTCCCTTATGTTATGCTGAAAATTTTGACACAACTCATGGTTTTTTCTAAAGTACTACGATACTTGTGTTCAACTACGTGTGAACTTCTGAACCCCATTGAAAAAGGTGACATGAAGCCATATCACAAACTCAACATACACACACAACTAACCAAGGGAAAAAAAAGAGAGAGACAAGATTTCATGAATAAGTTTTAGTATGGAAGCACTATCTTGTTACCTGTTACTTACTTGAACCTTTAATGCTTTTCCTGCAGCTGTTTACGAAATTTGCAGTGATTGGTAAAGGGGTTTGTGAGGTTAAGAAGTTTTCCTCAAAGGAAATGGCTGGGGATATTGTTATAAATGAAGATATAGCAAGTCTTGAACCAGTTGTAGATCTTGATAGCCAGAAAGATTCAAAGAAGAGCAAGTCCAAAGATGAAACAAAAAAGACAGTACCGTTGCACAAGCTTTTCTCATTTGCTGATCCTTTGGATTATTTGCTGATGTCTGTGGGGACAGTGGGTGCTATTGGGAATGGAATCTCCATGCCCTTAATGACTTTAATATTTGGAAATATGATCAATGCATTTGGAGGATCCACAAACTCAAAAGAAGTTGTGGATGAGGTTTCCAAGGTATTTTTCTAACTAATCTCTTTTACTACAGATCCATATTTGTGAAATATCTAAGGTGGAAATTGGTGAAGCTTGAGAGGAGCTTTTGTTCTAGTATGCAATACCCTTCATGGCACCTGTTTGCCACACGAATATTAGTTTGAAGTGAACTTTTAGAACGTAAAATTCTCCAACCTAACACTTCATAATGAATTACTGTGTTCAGGTGTCTCTGAAATTTGTGTACTTGGCTGCGGGTACCTTTGTTGCTTCACTTTTGCGTAAGTACATCGGATTCTGTGTTAGTTCTTACAATCTAACTAATTATTTTGGCTCATTATGACTCAAAAAGAAACCCTGTTTGCTATATACTAGAGTTGACTTGCTGGATGATCACTGGGGAGAGACAGGCTGCAAGAATAAGAGGCTTATACCTTCAAACAATTCTAAGGCAAGATGTTAGTTTCTTTGATAAGGAAACTAATACTGGAGAGGTTGTTGGAAGAATGTCAGGTGATACTGTTCTTATTCAAGATGCCATGGGTGAGAAGGTATTAATGAACTAGAACCACCATACAACTCTTAAATTAAGTCATCACCATTCTGTTTTCCTCTTAACAACCAAATATTTGTTTCCTTCCAATTTTCGTTTCAGGTGGGACAGTTCATACAGTTAATAGCAACTTTCTTCGGAGGTTTTGTAATAGCATTCTTCAGGGGATGGCTTCTAACAGTTGTCATGCTATCATGTATTCCACTTATTGTCTTGTCTGGTGCTATGATGAGCACGGTTATTGCAAAAACATCATCCAGTGGACAAACAGCTTATTCTAAAGCAGCAAGTATAGTAGAGCAGACAATAGGTTCTATCCGAACTGTATGCACACTGGCTAAAAACAACTCCTGACTCTTTTTTCTTTTTTTTTTTATTGTGTCATTGCTGAATATATATAAATGACTTCTATTTCTCCAATGCAGGTTGCATCATTCACTGGGGAGAAGCAAGCTATAGCTAAATATGATCAGTCCTTAATCCAAGCTTACAAGACTGGAGTGCAAGAGGCAGTAGCTTCTGGTTTGGGGTTTGGTTCACTCTTTTTTGTTGTTATCTCCACTTATGGTTTGGCTGTATGGTTTGGTGGGAAAATGATAATAGAGAAAGGATATACAGGAGGGGAGGTTGTGACTGTAATTTTTGCTGTTTTGACTGGCTCCATGTAAGTTGTGAACATGTCTCTTTTTTTCTTTCTTAATATGAGCCTATAATTTCCAAACATGATTCTGTAACTCAGGAAGATATGAACATATATTGTGTGGTTGGTCATGGCTAACTATATTTCCAATCCCAGGTCTCTTGGGCAGGCATCTCCAAGCTTGAGTGCTTTTGCTGCAGGACAAGCTGCAGCCTTTAAGATGTTTGAAACAATTAAAAGGAAGCCAGAAATTGATTCTTATGATGCTACTGGTCGGCAACTTGATGACATTCGTGGAGATATAGATCTTAGGGAGGTTTGCTTTAGTTATCCTACAAGACCAGATGAAATGATATTCAATGGATTTTCTCTTTCAATACCAAGTGGAACTACTGCAGCTTTGGTAGGGCAAAGTGGGAGTGGGAAATCAACAGTTGTTAGTTTGATAGAGAGGTTTTATGATCCACAGGCTGGTGAAGTTCTCATTGACGGTATCAACCTCCAAGAATTTCAACTGAAATGGATCAGACAGAAAATAGGCCTAGTTAGCCAGGAACCAGTACTCTTTACTTGTAGCATTAAAGAGAATATTGCCTATGGCAAGGATGGTGCAACCGATGAAGAAATCAGAGCTGCATCAGAACTTGCTAATGCTGCCAAATTTATAGATAAACTTCCTCAGGTGAACTCTCAAATCTTAATTTAAATGTTGAAACTGCATAGTGCTTAGCAGTTTTGGAATGTTCTTTTCCTTTGTCAGGATTATCTTTATCTGCATACTGCATATGACAAAAGAATTTTTTTTTTCTTACTTCTATCTTTATATTGAATGGCCCTTTTACCTCAATAATTTTGTTTAATTATGAATTATGAACTTAGGGTCTAGACACAATGGTTGGTGAGCATGGAACTCAGCTCTCTGGGGGTCAAAAGCAGAGAATAGCAATAGCAAGAGCGATTTTGAAAGATCCAAGAATTCTACTTCTTGATGAGGCTACAAGCGCCCTTGATGCTGAATCTGAGAGAATTGTACAGGAGGCATTGGACAGAATAATGATCAACCGAACAACTGTCATTGTAGCCCACCGCTTAAGTACTATAAGGAATGCTGATACCATTGCTGTTATTCATCAAGGAAAAATAGTTGAAAGAGGTAGACATATTATGTTGTAATAGAAATCTAATTTCTCCATGACTCAAAATTCTTAGAACTTTCATGAAGCCCAAATGTTTATATTCCTTGTTGCATTCTTATATTTTTCAATTGATCAGGTTCACATGCTGAACTCACCAAGGATCCTGATGGAGCCTATAGTCAGCTCATTAGACTGCAAGAAATTAAGGGGTCAGAAAAGAATGTTGCATATGACAAAGACAAGCCAGAAAGTATAGTTCATTCCGGAAGAATATCAAGTCAAAGACATTCTTTCTTACGATCTTTAAGTCAAGGGTCATCTGGAGTTGGAAACAGTGGTCATCACTCATTCTCAGCATCATTTGGTGTACCCACATCAGTAGGCCTCTTGGAACCTGCGGGTGGAGGACTTGAAGCTCCTCCTTCAACAGATTCTTTACCACCACCACCAGAAGTGCCACTTTCTCGCCTAGCTTATTTAAACAAGCCTGAGATTCCAGTCTTACTGATAGGGACTATAGCTGCAGTGATACATGGAGTAATAATGCCCACTTTTGGGCTCTTGCTTTCCAAAATGATAACTATTTTCTATGAGCCAGCTGATAAACTTCGTAAAGATTCAAAAGTTTGGTCATTAGTATTTGTTGCTCTTGGTGTGGTATCATTACTCATTTTTCCATGTAGATTCTACTTTTTTGGTGTTGCTGGTGGTAAGTTGATCAAAAGGATCAGGAAAATGTGTTTTGAGAAAGTAGTTCACATGGAAGTAAGTTGGTTTGATGAGGCTGAGCATTCAAGTGGAGCACTAGGAGCAAGGCTCTCAACTGATGCAGCTTCTGTTCGATCTTTGGTTGGGGATGCACTTGGTTTGCTGGTTCAAAATAGTGCTACAGCAATAGCTGGCTTGGTAATTGCTTTTGAAGCGAGTTGGCAGCTTGCTTTTATAATCCTTGCTTTGGTGCCTCTATTAGGACTAAATGGATATGTGCAATTCAAGTTCTTGAAAGGATTCAGTGCAGATGCAAAGGTTTGTTCTTCATTTCCATTAAGCAACAAATTATATTGTGAATGAATATGAAAATATCTGTGTTTTCAACTTGAGGGGATGTGGAATGATTAATCTGGATAACAGTAATCACATCCATTTCTTTGTACATTTTTGGCATCATACTTATAGAAGAGATGAAAAATTACTTTATGAGCATTGATCAACAGTGTTACAAGCATGTGCTCTGAACACATTTTTGACTTAAATATATGTTATGATATGAATACTGACTGATATTCTATTTGCCTAACAGAAATTGTATGAGGAAGCAAGTCAAGTGGCGAATGATGCTGTAGGGAGTATAAGAACAGTTGCTTCTTTCTGTGCTGAACAGAAGGTGATGGAATTATACCAGGAAAAATGTGAAGGACCAATTAAAACAGGCATAAGGCGAGGGATAATAAGTGGAATTGGTTTTGGGTTTTCATTCTTCACGCTGTATGCTGTTTATGCATGCAGTTTTTATGCAGGAGCTCGACTTGTAGAGGATGGCAAATCAACATTCTCAGATGTTTTCCGTGTAAGTTACTCTCCTAACTTGTTCTCCGTGCCATGTCACACATTCTATCACTTTTCTCTTCTTATTGTTACAGTTATTGCTGAGTTATTAATCACCAAGATAGGGTGGCCCAATTTTTATAGCATTGATGATTTTGTTTCCTGATTTGCAGGTCTTTTTTGCTCTCAGCATGGCAGCTATCGGAGTCTCGCAATCTGGCTCTTTGGTCCCTGATTCAACTAAAGCAAAAAGTGCTGCTGCTTCCATATTTGCTATTCTTGATAGGAAGTCACAAATAGACCCCAGTGATGACTCTGGAATGACATTGGAAGCAGTCAAGGGAGAAATTGAGTTGAAACATGTCAGTTTCAAGTATCCTACCAGACCTGATGTTCAAATATTCAGAGATCTTTGCTTGACCATTCATAGTGGCAAGGTAATTTTCTAATCTGCAAGTCCATTAGACTGCTCAAAATTTTTATGCCGAAAGCAAGTAACTAACAGATTGATTATACTGATAAAAATCAGACAGTTGCATTGGTTGGAGAAAGTGGAAGTGGAAAATCAACAGTGATCTCATTACTACAAAGATTTTATGACCCAGATTCAGGTCACATTACACTGGATGGAAAAGAAATCAAAATGCTACAAGTTAAATGGTTAAGACAACAAATGGGCCTGGTAAGCCAAGAGCCTGTGCTGTTTAATGACACCATCCGAGCCAATATTGCTTATGGAAAGGGAGGGGATGCAACTGAGGCAGAAATTATAGCTGCAGCTGAACTGGCAAATGCCCACAAATTCATTAGTAGTTTGCAGAAGGTAAATTGCACAGTGTCCTATCAACTCAATATCTCTTAAAAAAACTGGTGTAACTATTGTTTCTTTAAAATTCTGAATTAGTACAAGTCATTTAAACACCATTATGAACATATATATATATATATATATATATATATATATATATATATATATATATATAGGTCTGAATTGCTGAGAACATTATATTATATATGCAGGGTTATGACACAATAGTAGGGGAGAGAGGAGTTCAACTCTCTGGGGGACAGAAGCAGCGGGTGGCAATTGCACGAGCCATAGTGAAGAATCCAAAGATATTACTACTAGATGAAGCCACTAGTGCACTTGATGCTGAGTCTGAAAAAGTGGTTCAGGATGCACTTGACCGAGTTATGGTTGATAGAACCACAATAGTAGTGGCACATAGGTTATCCACTATTAAGGGTGCAGATTTAATTGCAGTAGTTAAGAATGGGGTCATAGCAGAGAAGGGAAAGCATGAAGCATTACTTAATAAGGGAGGTAACTACGCTTCCTTAGTAGCATTGCACACGAGTGCTTCTTCATCTTAGACTCCTTTTGTCCAAGTAAAATCAGTTGCTAAGGATTCTTTTTTCCTTCTCAATGATTGGTCAAGTTTAAATACCACTCCCTCTATGTAGCGGGTAATATGTAATGTTTTTTCTTGAAAGTAGTAGTAGTAGTGAGTTTGTTTCTTTAGTTTCCTATGTAATATGTAATGTTCTTTCTTCAAAGAAAAAAATGTTTCCTTTTTTGCTTCTCTTTTTGATTCAAGAAATGATTCTTATATATCAGTATCATTTGCATCACTTTTTTGCATCAAAATCTTGCGCAGAGAGCTTGTGTAGGAACTGAAGTAGTGTAAAAGTGATATTAAAAAAAATATATATTGTAAAGAAACTTCTGATACACCACTCCAAAAGCTAGCTCCAAGGGTAGGAGTGCCCAAGACCTTATAAACTTCACATTAGTTGCACATACAACCAATGTGGGATTATATATCTCAACATGGTATCAGAGCCTCGCAGTCCCTCACTTTCTCTTGTGGCGTTTCTTAGCACAGGTATGTTGGGCCTGTTGCATTGTCCACTCTTCAAGCCCAATGGACTCTCGTGTGAGGGGGCATGTTGAGATATATAGTCCCACATTGGCTGTATGTGCAACTAATATGAAGTTTATAAGATCTTGGGCACTCCCACCCTTGGAGCTAGCTTTTGGGGTGGTGTATCCCAAGGTTCTTTACATGGTATTAGAGCCTCACCGTCCCCTACTTTAAAGTGGAATTAAAACAAAAAGCACAAAAAGGTAAACCAAAAATTAGGCTTGTGCATAATCCACGCTTCAAGCCCAAAGGGCTCTTGTGTGAGGGGGCGTGTTGAGATATATAGTCTCACATTAGTTGTATGTGCAACTAATGTGGCCTTTATAAGGCCTTGGGCACTCCCACCCTTTGAGCTAGCTTTTGGGGTGGTGTATCCCAAGGTTCTTTACTTATATATAAGCCATTAGGATTAATCTAGCGCCGGGAAGAGGTGTGAGTAGTTGTGTTAGGTAGCGTGTGTTCTAGTACTTCCTCATGTATCAAAATATATATATATATATATATAAGAAAAAATATTTTTATACCACTTTAGATAAGGTTATAGCCAATGATGCACGGACACGACACGACACGCCGACACGTTAATTCTAAAAAATGTCATATTTCGACACGTGGGGACACGTTTTGATATTAAATAAAAATTTTAATATATATAATATAATTTATATTTAATACATATAAGAGTCCATAATAAATCATATAACCAATCAAATATTTAAATTTCATAACATAAATATAAATATAAATAATTTTTCGTACTTTTAAATTTTCATGTCAAATTTCATAATAGAAAAAAATTAATTTATAAATTATTTCTTTTATATTTAGTTAACAAAATAAAGTTAAGATTTAAAAAAGAAAAAAAACGTGTCCAAGAGTTGACCGCAATTTTTTTTTCAAACGCCGTGTCCGTGCTTTGAAGGTTATAGCTATCCTTTATAATTATGTATTTCACACACACATATATATATATATATATATATATATATATATAAGCAAATATCAAGTCGTACCAATTCCCCCCTGTTCAAATTGATTCCTGAATTGGTTCTAAATCTCAAAATTTTCACGAATGTGTTGTTCTTAAAGACTGAAAAAGATCTTAATCCTTAGCTGTAACTGGGAAGCACCATATAGATGAAGACAACAGAGACAATGCTAAAGTGGTTGGAGTTGGAGATGATAATTGACCACACATTATCACAACCAAGTGAGATGCACTAAAAGAACTCATGAAAAATAGGTTAAATGAGTGTTCCCTTCGATCTCATTCCATATCGAATTCCGCAATTACATACCTGGCTGATCAAGGAAAACGGAAAATCAGATTATGAGGAAAACCCAAAAAAAAAAAAAAAACAAGAGAGGTGTAATTAAATTACCGTTTTGCATTAATATTGGCCTAAAAAAAATTCTTGCTGGTGTATTAAACAAAACCTAAACGTGGCTAATACTTTTCATTAATCTGTAGACTGTAGTTAATATTAGAGATGTATACTTAAATTTTTAGAAAATGTGAAATTGGACAGGAGATGATGATTGTTTTTTACTTGAATTGTGAGAGAATCCTACTAATATATAGATTAAATTTAAATTTGATTTAGCTTCATTTGGGACCACATTCAGTTTATAATAACGACCTATTCATTTTCTAATTAAGATATCAAACCATATAATGATTTTATTAAATTTGATTTAGCTTCATTTGGGACCACATTCAGTTTATAATGATATATTCATTTTCTAATTAAGATATCTAACCATATAATGATTTTATTCTTGAATATATACACTAGATGCTAAAATAACTTTTATTTCAATCAATTACGTATAACTTTCTCCATAAACTATTATGTATCCAAGTTAAAGGACAACCTTTACAACAGAAGTGAATCATCTCATGTTAAAATTTTAGATAAGTTGATCATATAAATTTTTTATGTTATCTCTTTCTTCATTAATAATAATATTAGACCTTACTTATTTAATGTACGTGAAGAGAAAAATAAATACAAAAATTTCATATAACTAAATTATGTGAAATTTTAACACGAGAGGATCTATTCCTCTCTACAACTCTTTCGTCACTGCTTGCGCAGCACACCTCCGTCCATCATAATTTCGACTAATATAGAAGTCTTAGTTGTCACATTGTATAATTTTATTGCATAGTTCTTGCGTTTTTTATTTGTGAGCTTCTTACTTTAAATATGCTAGCCGTAGCTGTCGTACCCTTTAAAATAATATTATATTAGTTCAGATCAAAGATTATAAATCTCTTTTATGAGAAAATTTGCGCTTTTAACCCAATTTTTTTTTATATTTCTCTTTTAAGTCTTAATTTTTTTTTTTCTTTTTTATAAAAGAGAGCACCGAACTCGGTGCTTTTGGTTTGCCAAAGTTTTTCTCCTCTTTTTTATATGCATGCATGTACGATCTGGAAAATTGTGATCCTCTTATTATTACATAATGCTATTTGAAAAAAGACATCATAGAGATTATTCTATGTAGCAAACATCATGCGGTCCCCAAGTTTCTTGAGAGTCAACTCAGTAGAGAACAAAAATAAAAACAACGGAAGTAAAACTATATAGTTCAACCAATAATGAGTTTGTCCATTCCATGGAACGTTATTCAATTATTGACCTCATCATAAACAAATGGGCATCGAGGCAATGGAGGTTAAACTTCAAAAGTCTTCTTCTTAGATTTGCATATGTAGTTATGTAGATTTCTTAGTAACATTTAGAGAAATTAAAAAAGAGAAGGGAAAAAAAAGTCACAGGAAAAAATACATATTAGCAAAGAGGTCAACAAAGACTTTTGGATTTCATTGCAAGATCGAATTTTACATGTTATGCAAAGTTTATTTACGGTTGAAGAGAGAAAAAGAAAATGTTTCTCACGTTACCAACCTTCAACCTAAGCAGCTATAATAATGGTAAATGTTTGATGTTTTTCATGTTATAGGAGATAATTTTATCTCTACACACATATAAAAGTGTGTAGGACTCATGTAACATCATATGAAGAGAAGAAAAAGAAAATATAAGTCCCACGTACTTTTATGTATGTGTAGGAGATAATTTAATTTCCTACAACTTGAGAGACAATAAACCCTAATGGTAATAGAGTTCTAATTTTGTGATTGATGAGCTTTGTTTTAATAAATTTTTTCTGCAGACTCATGTAGCATTGTGATATATGTCTTGAAGATCAAAAGTAAAAGTAAGCATTTCAAATAGTCAGTGGTGCAGAGATATAAAGCAAGTAATTTTTTTTATTAATAATAGAGATATAAAGCAAGTAATTTTTTTTATTAATAATCATATATATATATATATATATATATATATATATATATATATAAGTTCAAATTGATTGAAATATTCATTTGTTTAGACTCAAAATATTTAGAAAACATCAAAATTAAATAGCTGATTTTTGAATTAAGGACTTAGAGCTTCAACTTCCACGTTCAACATTACACTTATTTAACTATATTGAAGTACTTGAAAAGAGAATCGTGCCGGGAAGTAAACCTGCTTCACTAACCCACGAGACCAATAACCAATAAGGTGCAAATGAGAGGAAAATTTCTTAGATAGTATAGAATAATACTACTGTTTAAATTATATAGTATATTTTTTTAATGGACAACTATATATTATTTTGAGTTTTCTCAAGTTATCCCCGGCCGATGACTAATTATTTCGAAGCGTAAAGATCACCAAAGTAGATTTTGTTTCTACCAACAAAGCTTTTTTCATACACTTAACCAAGAATGAAACCTTTGTCAGCATGCTTAAGAATCCAGCCATCTACTTAATTCAAATATGACTATAAGTGTTATGTTTTTGGTGGATTGAGTGTAGTACTCTCCACATAGATAAGAATTTTTCATATAAAAGAGCTCTTGTTGTTCCATGTTGCATTTAAACCGTACATAAATTGTTTGTTTTGGTAATGGGCATCTAATTCTGTTCTGTTCTTTTGCTTTATCTTGTGATTTAAAGACAACCCAAGTTAGCTTGCAGTAGTAGGCTACTGCCAACTGGTTTCCATCAATCAGAGTTTTCCTTCATTCTCCTGTTGCTTTTTAGTGCTACTTTGCCATCATTCTGAGAAGGCGGGAACTGTAAGCACTTCTACCTCAAGTTTGCACAAAGGTTCGTATTTGGCTTTTACCTTTTTTTAGAAATAACAATGACAAGAACTCATGAACAAGGAAATCCTTTGCTTTTCTTTAATATCTGTTTTGGTTTTGAATGTGATTTGATCACTCATGTTTGTTTGGCCAGTTTACCTTATGCTATCTAGCTTTTTCTGTTAGTCTTCAATGTCCATTCCTCTCTATTGTTGAATTTGGTTAAGTCAACTAGTTTCCAATTCACATAGTTTTTGACATCTAAAGAATTACAACAGAGATTTTCCTTAGGGAAAATGGTGGCCGAAGCCAGCTTGGATGGAGATATTACTTCAACTGAGATGACAGGATCAACAAGTCATCCACCAGTTCTTGGTCCTGAAAATACCCAAGAAATGGCTGGTTCCAAGAAGAACAAGGTGAAGGACGAAAGCAAAAAAACAGTACCATTTTATAAGCTCTTCTCATTTGCAGACTCTTGGGATTATCTACTGATGTTTGTTGGGACAATAAGTGCTATTGGGAATGGAATTTCTTTGCCTTTAATGACTATAATTATTGGAGATGCAATTGATGCTTTTGGAGGAAATGTTAACACTAAACAAGTAGTTCATGAAGTTTCCAAGGTAACGACTAGCACACCCCCTTCATTAAGAATCGAAGTTTCAATGTCATAACGCATCATCATGGCTCATTTTATGCTCAGGTGTCTCTGAAGTTTGCAATCACGGGTGCAGGTGCCTTTATTGCAGCCTTTTTGCGTAAGCACACCAAATTCTCTGCTGATTATGCTTACTGCATAACTAAAAATATAATTTAGCTTCAGCTTAATTAATATAACAAGAGTTACTCATACATGCAATCTTCCAGAGGTGGCTTGCTGGGTGATCACCGGAGAAAGACAATCTGCAAGAATAAGAGGCTTATACCTCAAAGCAATTTTGAGGCAAGATGTCAGCTTCTTTGACAAGGAAACGAACAGTGGTGAGGTTGTTGGAAGGATGTCAGGTGATACAGTTCTAATTCAAGATGCCATGGGAGAGAAGGTAATAATGGATCACTTTACAAGTCCCAAAAACCATCACCATTTCATCAAGCTATGATATTTAAACTTGACTTGTTCTTTCTCCTTTTTGAGTGATATTACAGGTAGGAAAATTCATACAGCATGTGGCATGTTTTTTAGGAGGTTTTGTCATAGCATTCATCAAGGGTTGGCTTCTATCCCTTGTCCTTCTATCTTCTCTTCCGCTTCTTGTCCTCTCCGGTTCCATTATGAGCTTTGCTTTTGCAAAGATGGCATCCCGTGGACAAGCAGCTTATTCTGAAGCAGCAACTATAGTAGAGCGGACAATTGGTTCAATTCGAACTGTATGCCAATTTTCTTAAACAACTTTTCATTGTTTTTCTTTTCATGTTGCTCTTGAGTAGCATAAAAAGGATACACATTCATTCATCCAATGCAGGTTGCATCATTTACCGGAGAGAAGCAAGCTATAGCTCAATATAATCAATCCTTGACCAAAGCTTACATGGCTGGAGTGCAAGAGGGCTTGGCTGTTGGTTTAGGCCTTGGTTCATTTCGTTTAATTGCTTACAGCAGTTATGCTTTGGCTGTATGGTTTGGAGGGAAGATGGTACTAGAGAAAGGTTATACAGGAGGTGAAGTCATGAGTATATTTTTTGCAGTACTGACTGGCTCCATGTAAGTTAGTTCCTGCTTTACCATCTATATATATTTTAGTTGCATCAGTCCATATCTTACAACCCTCCCTCCCAAGCTTTGGAAGAAAATTAGATACATGTCACATTTCTGGACTAATTTTATATGCAGGTCTCTGGGGCAGGCAACTCCAAGCTTAACCGCATTTGCTGCGGGACAAGCTGCTTCTTTTAAAATGTTTGAAACAATAAAAAGGCAGCCAGATATTGATGCCTATGACACTGCTGGTAGGCAGTTTGATGATATTTCTGGAGATATAGAACTTAGGGAGGTTTGCTTTAGTTATCCTTCAAGACCAGATGAACTGATATTCAATGGATTTTCTCTTTCAATATTAAGTGGCAGTACTGTAGCTTTGGTTGGGCAAAGTGGGAGTGGGAAATCCACAATTGTTAGTTTGATAGAGAGGTTTTATGATCCACAGGCTGGTGAAGTTCTCATTGATGGTATCAACCTCAGAGAATTTCAACTGAAATGGATCAGACAGAAAATAGGCCTTGTCAGCCAGGAACCGGTTCTCTTTACTTGTAGCATTAAAGAGAATATTGGCTATGGTAAGGATGCGGCAACAGATGAAGAAATCAGAGCTGCAGCAGAACTTGCTAATGCTGTTAAATTCATAGATAAATTTCCCCATGTGAGCTCTATCTCAATTCTTCAATCATATTTTGAAACTTGAAGTGTTCTTTAGCTTTTTCAACAATATCAGTTTCAAATTCCACAATGCGGAAGACTATTTTACATGTATGTATGTGTTCACTAAATGGCCCTTTTACCTCATTAGTTTTGTAAAATTATGAATTTAGGGACTTGACACGATGGTTGGCGAGCATGGAACTCAACTTTCTGGGGGTCAAAAGCAAAGAATTGCTATAGCAAGGGCAATTCTGAAAGACCCAAGAATTCTCCTCCTTGATGAAGCTACAAGTGCCCTTGATGCAGAATCTGAAAGAGTTGTACAAGAGACACTAGACAGAATTATGACAAACCGAACAACTGTGGTTGTAGCCCACCGGCTAAGCACAATAAGGAATGCTGATATCATTGCCGTTATTCAGCAAGGAAAAGTAGTAGAAAAAGGTAGACATACTATGTTGGCACAGAAATGAGACTCAGTATGGAAACACATTCACACACACATCTTCATTTTTCCTTGACATATGCATTGCTGCATTCTTATCTCTTTAACTGATTAGGTACACATGCTGAGCTCACTAAAGACCCTGATGGAGTTTTTAGCCAGCTCATTAGATTGCAAGAGATCAAAAGGGAATCAGAACAGCACGTTGCAAATGACTCAGGCAGGCTAGAAAACTTGGTAGATTCAGGAAGACAATCAAGCCAACAGTTTTCTTTCCCTCGGTCTTTAAGCCGGGACTCATCTGGATCTGGAAACAGCAGTCGCCAATCATTCAGAGTATCAAGTGCTGCTATGCCTACCACACTTGGTCTCTTGGAGACATCAGAGGGAGGTCCTGAAGTTCTTCCTTCAGCAGCATCCCATACACCTTCAGAAGTCCCATTTCTCCGCATTGCTTGTCTTAACAAGCCTGAAATCCCAGTGTTACTCATAGGGACTCTAGCAGCAGCGGTATCTGGGGCAATACTACCCATTCTGGGGCTTCTAGTCTCCAGCATGATAAATACTTTCTTTGAGCCTGCAGATGAACTCCGTAAAGACTCAAAGTTTTGGGCATTAATATTTTTTGTCCTTAGCGTGGCTGCCTTCTTATTTCATCCATTGAGGTCCTACTTTTTTGCTGTAGCTGGTTCTAAGTTGATAAAAAGGATCCGGCTAATGTGTTTTGAGAAAATAATTCACATGGAAGTAGGCTGGTTTGATCAAGCCGAGCATTCAAGTGGAGCACTCGGAGCAAGGTTGTCAACTGATGCTGCTTCAATTCGAGCTTTGGTTGGGGATGCACTTGGTTTGCTGGTTCAAGATATGGCTACAGCAATTACAGCCTTGGTAATTTCCTTTGAGGCAAACTGGCAGCTTTCTCTCATCGTTCTTGTTTTGCTACCTCTACTACTAGTTAATGGACATGTGCAAGTCAGGTCCATGCAAGGATTCAGCACAGATGCAAAGGTTTGTGCTTTACTGACATCAAACCATCGATTACTAGTTTGAAACTACATGAAAATATCTAAATTTCAGGCATAGTGAGAAAAGGGTGAGGGGAAACTTTGGATGTAAATATAAACTGAATGGAAGTAATCATATCAATATCTATGCCCTTTTCTGTTTGAAAAATGCTACATGAATAACATTTAGAGAGACAAGAAAGGACAATCACTGTGCAATTTGATTGCTTGTGGATTTTGCAGAAAAGTTTTGGTCTGACTGTGGTCAGATCCAAAGTTAAATCTAGGGGAAGGGATGGATTTTTGTATATATTAAGGTTGTTTATGTGACATTACTTTTTCTGCATATACTCAAAGAGGATAAACTACATCTTTGTCTCTGTATTTAATTAGTTAGTACATCTTTGCTTCTATATTCAAGTAGTACTAATATCCCTTTGACCAATGTTACTGTGCTCTATGCCTCTATATGTTCCACAGAAACTATATGAGGAAGCAAGTGAAGTAGCAAATGATGCAGTAGGGAATATCAGAACAGTTGCGGCTTTCTGTGCTGAAGAGAAGGTGATGGAATTATACCAGAAGAAATGTTTAGGACCAATCCAGACAGGTATAAGGCAAGGTTTAGTCAGCGGAACTGGTTTCGGGTTATCACTGTTCTTTCTGTTCTCTGTCTATGCGTGCAGTTTTTATGCCGGAGCCAGGCTTGTTAAGGATGGCAAATCATCAGTGTCAGATGTTTTCCGTGTAAGTTATTGTCCTAACTTGATCACCATGTCAGATATAAAGCTTTTTTGACTCATCTTAGTTGTTATTGACAAAGCATAAGCAAATTTATCATATAGATTTCAAAGATTTTTAAAAGATAAAACAACAAAGAGAATTTAAAACGTCTTCACATTCTTCTACCATTAAACATGTCATTTCCTAATTTTCAGGTCTTTTTTGTTCTCACAATGGCAGCTGTAGCAATATCTCAATCTGCCTTCACAGCCCCAGGCGTGAACAAAGCAAAAAGTTCTGCAGCTTCTATATTTGCCATTCTTGATCAGAAATCAAAAATAGATCCCAGTGATGAGTCCGGAATGACATTGCAAGATGTGAAGGGAGAGATTGAGTTCCACCATGTCACTTTCAAGTATCCAACCAGGCCTAATGTTCACATATTCAGAGATCTTTCCTTGACAATTCATTCAGGAAAGGTAACTGACCAACTGATACACTGTTTTGATGCTTAATTCCAATAAGGGAGAATCTAAGAGTTTGATTATCCTCATGAAAATCAGACAGTTGCCCTAGTAGGAGAAAGTGGAAGTGGGAAGTCAACAGTGATCTCATTGTTGCAAAGATTTTATGATCCAGATTCAGGTCAGATTACACTGGATGGAACAAAAATCCAAAAGCTACAACTCAAATGGTTTAGGCAGCAGATGGGCCTGGTAAGCCAGGAGCCCGTGTTGTTTAATGACACAATCCGAGCCAATATTGCATATGGAAAGGGTGGTGATGCAACTGAAGCTGAAATTATAGCTTCAGCAGAACTGGCAAATGCCCACAAGTTCATTAGCAGTTTGCAGCAGGTAAACTAAACTATACACAGTATTCAATGAGCTGAATCTGTTCTTAAGACTTGTGCAACAAGAATGTATCTTAACAAGTTATTGAAACAACATATCCATATGCATAAGGTTCTGAATTCTAGAAAAAAATAAAATAAAATAAAAAACATATGCAGGGCTATGATACAGTTGTAGGGGAGAGAGGGATTCAACTATCTGGAGGTCAGAAACAGCGAGTGGCAATAGCAAGAGCAATAGTGAAGAGTCCAATGATTTTACTACTAGATGAAGCCACAAGTGCACTTGATGCTGAGTCTGAAAAAGTGGTTCAAGATGCACTTGACCATGTAAGGGTGGACAGAACCACAATTGTGGTGGCCCACAGGTTATCCACCATAAAGGGTGCAGATTTAATAGCTGTGGTTAAAAATGGAGTCATTGCAGAGAAAGGAAAGCATGACACTCTGCTCAATAAGGGTGGTACATATGCTTCCTTAATAGCACTGCACACAAGTGCTTCTTAATCCTAGTCCCTTTTACCTCGTTTCCTCTTATGGTTTCTTAATCTCGTTTTAAGGTATCATTATTTAAAAAATAAGGATGTATCATTCTTAAGTTATAATCATTCTTACTTGTTTCTCTTTAAAATTAAGTGCATCTTATAAAAGTCTTTTTCTTTTTTAATGGGTGTCTAGGTTACACAATTTTTTCCCATTAACGTAGTTCCTACGGTAGAAATAACACCCACAAATACCTAAACCTATGATTGTAACCAGCGTGATAAATGAAATTACAATTGCAGTAAGCAAAAAAATGCTAATTAAATTGGAAATTATGAGCTCAGCATGTAACATTAATATGATGCTATACTAAAGGATAGAGAGATTGAGCAAATGAAACACTTGCCTCTGAATCTGATGAACTAACAGGTAACAGCAGCTTCCAATTACATTTGTACATATCCAATGGCATGTCTGTGTTACCATCAGCCATTAGTCATGCTCATGCATGATATTAAAGAGAAACAAGTTGGGCCTCGAGCCCTATCATTTTCGTTTCGTTGGGATCAATTTTTAACAGGTACAACGAACGGGCTTAGGCCCAAACAGATGCTTGCTTTCATTCAAAGGTGGGAAACTCACAAAGCCCAATCTATGTTTAGATCTAATAATGCTATTCAGTGAGGAAATTAAGTATCTCAAACGAACCTAATATTCCAATACAAGAAAATAAAAGTATCCGGGCCCAGCCAGCCCAGCCCAGCCCAGCCCAAAATTGACTGCATGGAATCGATATTTCATTCGACTAAAAAAAAATATATATATATATATAATAAAGAGGTTGGTTCAATTGGTACATGCTTGATTCCACTTGAAAAATATCTTGAATTTAACTTCTTGTATATGCAAAAAATCTCCTTTTGGAGAGCAAGCTTCATCATAATGTGAATAATCCCAACTCGAATAAAATTGTCTTCCATGGAGGATAGTTGTGATTTATAAATAAAAAAAGGTTCGCTTTTTCTGTAGTTACTGCAGATAAGTTATCTGCAGTAAGTCCAATACGACGTCGTTTTGGGACGAAAATCATGGTGTTTTTGTAATTTTAATTTATTTCAGGATTATTATAGTATTTATAATTAAAAATTTTATACTTTCGATTCCAAAACGACTTCGTTTTGGAAGTAAATGCAGATAACTTATTTGCAGAAATATTTTTTTGATAAAAAAAAATCAATATTTAAGTTTTTCTGATAACTGTGTAAGCATTTGTGCCTTTTTTGGAATTTTCCAGGATTTTCTATATTCTATCAATCTAGAAAATTTGATGGGTAATTCCTCTCCAAAGATCTGCATCTTTTGTAGTTTCTATTCATGTTTTCAGCTAGGCAGATAGGCCTACAAGAATCAACGCATGTTTGTGCTCTTTATAATGTACACATGCAATCAAATTCCGTATGTAATGTATGAATAATAGGCTCATGGATATAGTTTGAATAATAATTATGACATTATTGTCAAATTTGAGGTCAAATTTTGTATATGAATTTTTTAATCCAGCATTGTAGACAAAAAGTAAATTAATTGAGGGACGCACAAGTTGCAACTTAATACTAAAAATATATACATGGTTGGTGGCTTAGAATATGAAAGTCCCCCTCAACAGATACATAACTTCCATCCATCTCTACACAAAAGTGTTGAGATATATAATCCCACATTGGTTGCACATACAAATGTGGATTTTATATATCTCAACAACAAAAAATTGCAAAATAATCCATACGCTATTTATATTTTATTTTGTATATATTATACCAAGTCATCAGATAACACTCAATTCTGTTACAATTTTCATTTTATTTTTTTAATCTTTGCAAAAGCAAATGCAGAGGCCACAAAACCAAATGGCATATATAAAGGAAGAATGGACTCTAATAGTAATAGAGAATGGAGAAAGAATCTGAATTGCCACAAAGCAATAAGGGTGGGCCTTGTCACTGTTTGATCACATCCCAACCCCACCACCTCAAACTTGCACAACCACTCTTTTTGGATGTGTGTTAAGGATCCCACCATAAGATTATGTTTGTTGTTATTAGGAAACCTGCAAGTGTATTTTACTCCTTTTATCATTATAGTGGGTTAGTGGTGTAAGCACCTGATGGCTTTTCATGATTCACACCTCAAACCCACTTATCAGTATCTCTTCCTTAAAGCTGCAGACAACAATTATTTACCTAAACCACAAATTGTGAAATTAAATAAATATCCATTAGTGGACCATTTTTTCAAATAAAAATACTAATTGCATATCTTCATTTTAAATCTATAATTACACTTCTTTATATTTGGTCTGTGATTTTTTTTTTTTAAATAAAGATAATTTTTTCACTTGTTCACAACAATTATCATATATAGAAATTGACATGGGTCCATATGTTGATCGTCAAATCAACCACTAGTAGCATCAATGTGTAACTAAAAAAGCTTGATTCACTAAATTAGGTCAACTGCTTAGCTTAAACTCTACAATTTGCATGAGAAAATGCAAGGCCCAACACTGGTCCGTAACCTCTTTTATCTTTATGTCATGTTCATCTTTGCTCGCTTTATTTGCAAATAAAGTATATTTTCATCAATTGAAATCAACAAAATTGGAAAATTTTCGAATGTTCACCTGCCATGCCTCTAGGTTGTGCACAACTCATATCAAAGGCTGAAGGCCTAAGCTTTTGCTTTAGGTACCAACATGGTAGAAGTATATTTAAAAAGAAGAGTGTGGAGTGAAAAAGACTATAAAAGTGAATAACTTTCAGAGTGAGGAACCATTAAGTTCCTAAACTGAGTACAAAAATTGGACACCCATTTTTAGCTATACACTTGCATTATTCACGGGATCGTGTAGCAATATGATTGAGATATGCCTGCTGCACCAACATTTCATGCTTCCAACAAGACATACACTACAAAGTACAAACATTGCATACAATAATTAATGCAGAAGTAGTTGTTGTTATTATACTTACATTAACGGTCATTAAAGATAAATAGTTCAAAGTGTCATTATATATATGTATTTGGAAAGAGACAGATAATTTGGAATAAAAGGGATATACTTGAAAGTTTGTTAAGAAATTAACAACTAGTTTTTGATAAAGACCTCAACGATGTCTCCCATCTTAAGATACTTCTAATTAGTACGACATACCAACCAGAAAATGGGTTAATTTTGTGTTTCAAACCTCTATTTCCAACAGGGGATAGAATATAAGCACGTGTATTCAAGAGCTAAGTTAGAAAAGACAAGGGATTTCAAAGATTAAAAATACCATTCATATTCATCAAGTTCCAACCTCATTAACAAATGACACATCATGTGACGTGAAGTCACAACAAACCAGTGAAAGCATAGAGTTTTTTTTTCTTATATTTTAAGTATTCCTTCAAAGGGAGTTACCTATTACCTACATACATACCCAACCCCCCTATCACTCCTTATTCTCCCCCATAGCCTTTCTCTCTTTCTTACATTTCCAGCTCTTTCTCATAATCAAGATCAATTATAAGACAAGTACCCTCCTCAATTCCTTGGTGAATGGTGGGACTAATTGCTGAAAACCAAGGTACCTTCCTCCCCCACCGGGTTTCTCTTTTTGTGCATGTTTGAGTCATTCACCAGATACAGTTTTGTCATAACACATGCATACAGCTATTCATTTCCTACATTAATTCAACTGATACATCTTCATATTTCTATCTAGATAATGACATCAAGGAGATTTAGCTGTCAGGACCATGGGAAGGGCTATTAAGGCTTAAATACAGCAATATTACAGTGAAATATACAGGAAGTTCTTTGGCAGGTACTTGGTTAATTGTTTAGCTTTTGCAAGAAATAATTTAAACACTGCATTAACTAAATTACTTTTCCCTTAAATTTAAACATCTTTAACTTCTTTATTACTTATTTATTTGTGATATATATATATATATATATATATATATATATATATATATACTTGGTTTGGTTAGTTGACTAGTTTAATTTGATCCCTCTCAAATAGTGAAAGCTGCAGTCTCAAATTCCCTTCATAAATAAGCTATATTTATGTTATCTTGATTTTAAGAGAAAAATAGTTGTGTTTTGACTCTTGTTGACAACTTCCATCAGCAAACTTGACAAGAGGTGACATTATAATTAAGGAAGCATTTTGAAAGTTGAAAATTGATGAACAAATAGGTAATCTAGCCTTAAGTACATACTATCAACTAAAACTGATGGGAAATCTGCACAAAATACAAAATATTGATCAACTATGGAACTTAAAACAAAGAAATAAGTTCAAGGTGGTCCTAATGTCTCAAAGCGAGGCAAACATGTGATTCTGTAAAGATGATGTTTGCATTTGCCCTTATGGATTACGTGGAACCAAGGGACTGCATTGAAGTTTGAGTAATATGCGGTGGCTCTAAAATCTAGCAGGTGTAGCTATTACTCTTTTCTCTCTCACCTTCATGCACAGTCACGTACTGTCACATGTAGATGTGGTGCTGCAAAATGCAGACATATTTCCTTCATGAGTGTTCACGGGTTATAAGCGAAGTATTTGATGAAAAAATCTATATAAAATGATCTTTGGCATTTACATTAAGCTTGGCAAACTTTCATTGCTAACCCATCCGAGTAGTCCCTATCTGCTACAAATATAACAAATTAATCAAACCATTTTGACATTCATACCACTATACATATGAACCTTCACATGCATGTCTAACTTCATAAGTAAGAAGTAATTTGTTAATTCTCCTTTCTATTGTTCCTCCCTCCTTTTCCGAGCTCTTGTTATGGGATCAATGTCTGCTTGTCAAGAGAACAGTACAAAGTACACTGTACAAGCCCAGCTTTTTATGCTTGGAGACATTTGGTAAGAGGTGAAAAAAAAAATTCCTAAAAAATTGAGGAAGAGAAAATTATTTGCCTATATTTGAAAGATGGTGAAATAAAAATATGATTGAGAAATTTTTTTTCCGTCGTTTGCTTTTCTATATAAAATGGTTGAAAAAAATTACCATTGAAATGGTGGAATTATTTTTTTTCATATGATTAGAAAATTAACACAAAATTAGTAAAATTAATTTAATATTATCGAAAAAAATTTGGCCTATCAAATACTTTTTAATAATTTGTACAGGAAAAAAAAATTCCATCATATTTTCAAAAAACAAATTTCCCATAAATTTCCATCATATTAGGATAATTCTAGATGCTTTGGCACCGTGGCACGTATATTTAAAGTACGTATTTAAGTCCAACTTTTAATTCATGAACTCTTTCACTGAAGTCTAAAACACATCTATGTTTATCTGAGTATATATTCCTGATGATGAGCCTTTTTGTTAAACCAATGAAGAAACATACTTCTTTATCTGCTTTTACAGCGTTAAGTAAGGAATTGGTGACTATGACACATGACATTGACACCCACTTTGTTTTGTGTCTTTTTATGCAAAATATTGAGATTATCTGACTTTCATTTTCTTTTTAAGCAAAGCATACTTACTCAATACTCATATGGTGAATCCCCGATGTTTACGGTACACGACGAATCTCGTACGTCAATTAAAGAAAAATCTCACATGTTGACGATACGAGATTCTTTAGGTACCTTTTTCGTAAAAAAGAAAAAAAAAATTACGAGCCAATTATAATTACAACATGATAGGAAAGTAAGTTTTTTTTTTTTCGAAAAAATTAAAAAAAAATTATTTGATAGATTGAAATATTATTGAAAAAATTAATTTAAATTTTCTGAATCTATATTTGATCGAAGATAAAATATTACTGAAAAAAAAATTGAAATTGCTAAAATAACTCTTGCCTATCAAACTTTGACACGTTATTTTAAGAATATTTGTATCTAAATTTTTGCTCCTCAAAATTTTGTTTTTCTAAATCAAAATATCACTCTGGATAATATTCTGAAGTGGTAATCTTAACTCAATTTTACATATAATATCGGATTCCTATGCAAATAAGAACCTATGCAATTTTTTTACAAATCCCTATTAAACATAATCTTCTTTGAATCTTACGTGAATTTTTCCAAACAAAAAAATTAAAACTCCCCAATCAAACACCCTTTAAATCTCTTAAATCTCATATATGTATGTGTGACTTTATTTATATCTCTCGTTTTACAAGAGAGATTTTCATTTTTGTGCAGAGAAAAGAGGGATAGGGCCCACTGTTTTAAGAAAAAAAACAAGGCACAAAGTTTAAAGGGTCAATAGAAGAAAGAAAAAAATTTCTCAAAATTTTAACCCCATATAAATATATATATATATATGTGTGTGGAAAATGATATGGTAACAACCAAGTTGTGTTACTATCAATCAATCTCACCGTTAAATCGATTATGTTGATCCAACAATTATATTTATTTTCAACTTTGTATGGTTATGATTTTCCATATTTAAAATAAAAGTATTAAATATAAGAAATCATAATCATACAAAGATGGATGTAAATAAATATAAAATATTAAATTTGAAAAATTATGATCATACAAAAATAAAAATAATTATAACCGTTAGATCAATATAATCAATCTAATAATAAAATTAATTAGTAATAACATAATAATAATAATATATATATACTCAATAATAGTTGATGGGGCCGATGAGAGTGGAGATTGAATCTTTTTGTGAGTGGATTTTCTTTATAAAGTGCTGCACTTCGAAAAGACTTGATCCTAGGTATTACTTAGATTTGCGTGGCTGCTTTTTTGGATGGATTTGCTAGCTTGCATTGCCTAGCTTTATATATATGGACCCATGAACCTTTGGGATGCACATTTGTCCTCTATTTTTCACATTAATTTATGGAATCTATTTATAATTACTTCATGTAACAGAAATAAAATAATGTGATCAACTACTTTTAAAAAAATGAAAAAAAAAATAGTGAACCTCGTTATCTTATCTCTATTACATGAGATAATTATCTCACAACATGAGATAATTATTTTCCTTAATTTATCCAACCTATATACCATAATATATGTCAGTTTGTGCTTAAATTTCCACCAACAAATCTCTTAAAATATCTTAAATTTCTGTTGTTTTGTAATGATCTTTGCTTCAATATGTGGTTCATGCTCCATAGAAATGGTAATTATCCATCAAAGATAAGGAAAAGAATGCGACAGAAACTGACCTCTATAAATTTGATTTTGACGTTTAAGGCCTAAGGATCCATATCCTAATAGGGCATTTCTAGACATTCTGTTGTCTTCAGCCTTAATCAAAGCATTTTTCCCCCATATATTTTAAAGATAAAATGAATTTGGTTCTTGCTTAAGTAATGAAATCATTTGGAAAATGTATTGCTGATGCAAGAACCATGTTTTTCTCAGCAACATATATAGAAGGGGACACCAATCAATGAGGCTGTTTATACTTGTTCTTTAAGCTACAATATAAGACAAGAACTGTAATCAAACATGTCTTGAAAACAATCATACTTTGTTTAACGGTTACCCGCCATAGAAAACTCACCAAACCAATCTATCATTGGAAGACCATCTATTTGTTGAAACATGACACCACTAACAATTTCACCTTAGAAGACACAACTTCATATATATTTGAAATAAATAAACCTAACAGGAGAGAAATAGGAACAAATAGATGTGAGGGGGAAAAAAGTAAGAAAGTGAAAAAGGTAAGTGGTGATAGGTTTTGTATAAAATTTGTAAAATATTGTATATACGTAATTATCATACTCTTAAAATAATATATGTGGGTCCTTGATTTAAAAATGAATACGATGTAATCCTGAATTTCACATCGAATTGCCTGTTGAGGGGCCAATAATTGAAAATCTCTCTCCATTTGCACTAAAAGACACTGCCTCTTCTTACGCACGACCACTTTAGTCATTATATAATTTATATTACAATTATCATAAGTATATTTTTTGTCTCTATGCAGCCTATTGGACCATTGATACAACTGCGAATTGCTGTACTACAATACGAGATACATATTAAAACGAAAGGATAATCCCATAAAATAAAATAAAAATGTACAAGTTAGATTTTTTAGTGGGTATATACAAGAAAGTCATAACTTTTCAGAGAGAGAAAGAAATTTATGTCAAAATCTATGGTCTTGTTATGAAGTGAGAAAAAGAAATACAATCCTTCTTTTGCCAAAATAATAAGCTCCTATTTAATGAAAGTGAAAACTAATCCTACACACACAAAATAGTCAAATATGCTATCCAAGTGCAAGAACTGCAATTAACTGTCCAAATAAATAAATAAACATAAGGTTTATCATCTATCATTTAACACGACCACAAAAATTTTCCTACACACACAACATTTTGTGGGACCCGCAGCAAAAAAAAAAAAAAACTTCGACATAACGAATCTCTATAACATAACACAATCACTTTTCTTACAACATAACTCTTATAAAACCCATAAACATAACGTAACAAGAACACTAAAACTATGATTGGGAACATGCGCCACATAGAACAAGACAAGAAAAAGTTGAAATTTCTGGCCTTTCTTCTAGCAGCATCTTACTGTACATTATGGGTCATGGTGTCCTCCATTCACTTTGTGTCACTTTCTTTTAGAGAAAATCTGATGAAGAACCAAAAGCTCTTTCCTTTATTACATGGTTTTACTTGTGGGTCACTTAGGTTCAATGTTTTCATCTATGGCGACCCCGTACTATCCTTGATTGTCTCATTGATCCATCTACACACGGGTGTCGCATAAAGTTTCTGTCTTTTTCTGCTTACTCCTCATGTTAAAAAACAACACTATTTTACATTTCACAAACACAAAGGTCTCTGCTTTTTCGTACTTTTCTTCTGTTATTCTTTGATCTTTTCTCCTCTTTCAGACCCCATTTTGAAATAGGAACAATGAAGCAAAAAACGCCACCGCCACCACCAGGTCCACCACCACCACCACTAACCCCACCAAGTAGTGTGTTAAAGCCGTGTGTACCACCACGCCGCCTCAGAGCTTCTTCTAAGGCCATAGAGTCTCCAAAGACACCACCAGAGGTTCTCAATAGGGTATCCATATCATCATCAAGAGCTAAATCAGTGCCCCCAGACTTGAAGAAAATCTCAAAGGCCAAAAGGGGTCTTGTGCTGAACAATCCTAAATCAAATGAAGAGGTTGTGGGGTCTCAAAAGGGTAGGGAATTTGAAGAGGCTAAGGTTGTTGTTACTCGGCCAGGGAGAAAGGTTGGGGATTTTGGTTTAAGGAGGAGTGAAGATGACCCTGATGGGAAGAAGAAGAAGAAGGATTTGCAGGAGAAGCTTGAGGTGAGTGAGAATTTGATCAAGAATTTGCAGTCTGAGGTGCTGACATTGAAGGCTGAATTGGATAAAGTTAAGAGCTTGAATGTGGAACTTGGGTCTCAGAACAGAAAGCTCTCTGAGGATCTTGCTGCTGCTGAAGCTAAGACATCAGCCGTTGGCAGCAGTGGAAAGGTGAGAATTTTAATGGGTTTGTTATATTTGAACTTTATATGTCCTTACAATTAATTGTTGTTTTTCTTATTCTATTTTTAATTTCAAGTGCAGCTAATTCATTTATTAGAGTCATCAATCACTATTTGATTGAACTTTCCATGGTGTTAAATTTTACGTTGGTACAAAAATGTGATCAAATATCTGTTTTATGCTGCGTTGGAAATGAATCTGACTTTTTACTTGGATTAAAGCAGTCAATTGGAGAACACCAGAGTCCCAAATTTAAAGACATACAGAAACTCATTGCTGACAAATTGGAACGGTCTAAAGCAAAAAAGGAAGCTATTTCAGAAGTAATTTTTGTTAAATCATCAATTCCAGCTCCAACACCAAGTCATACCATTCCTGGAACTCCGAGTATAGAAAGAAAATCTCCACCCAACCCGTGCCTGCTGGCACCTCCCCCGCCACCTCCACCGCCACCAATACCGTCTCGGCCGTTATCAAAATTATCTAACACCCAAAAGGCCCCTGCAATTGCCTTTCTATTTCACTCCTTAAAGAATCTAGATGGAAAGAAAGACTCAAAAGGATCTGTGAATTATCAGAAACCATTAGCTATTGGTGCACACAGTAGCATTGTAGGAGAAATTCAAAACCGTTCAGCTCATCTTTTAGCAGTAAGCATTGTGTTTGTCATTCAGTTGTGTTTTTAACTTTAAAATATGTTCTATTAATTAATGAGTAATGACTGACCATCCTTTCCAGATAAGGGCAGACATTGAAACGAAAGGAGATTTCATTAATGACCTTATAAAAAAGGTGGTAGATGCAGCCTACATGGATATTGAAGAGGTCCTAAAGTTTGTTGATTGGCTTGATGGTGAACTATCGTCATTGGTAAGTTTGTTGATTGGCTAGGGTCACTGATTTGGCATTTAATGCCACCCCTCCAAACTAGTAATGTCTTTCCATACTTTTCTGTTCATTTGAATTTTACCAATGCATTTAGTTTAACCTTAGTAAATGATCTATGCCCTTTCGAGAAAAGCTGGTAGGTAATGAATTTTATGATATTATATAAAAGTGCATAGTTTTTAACAGTGTACATGTAACGAAGTTTCTTCAGTATATGAGACATTACTACAAGATTCATAAAAATATTTGGGTGTTATGTGATGTTGTGGTCAGCTGGTACAACATAAATAATACCTGGTTTCTTACTAGCTCCGAACCTGTATTCTGCAGGCTGATGAGCGTGCTGTCTTGAAGCATTTTAAGTGGCCTGAGAAGAAAGCTGATGCAATGCGAGAGGCTGCAGTTGAGTATCGCGAGCTTAAAATGTTAGAACAAGAGATTTCCTCCTACAAGGATGACCCTGACATTCCATGCGGAGCTGCTTTGAAAAAGATGGCTAGCCTATTAGACAAGTAAGATTTGTATACCGAGATAATGTTCCTATTTATTCATTACGGATATGGCAGGTTTACAGGTGGGGGAATGCTAATTCTGTCTCTCACTTCATCTCATTGTGATAGGTCTGAGAGGAGCATACAGAAGCTAATCAAGCTGCGAAATTCTGTCATACGCTCATATCAAATGTACAACATTCCAACTGCTTGGATGCTTGATTCAGGAATGATGAGCAAGGTTTCATTTCTTATGCTTTTACTCTGAAATCAGAACAATGACTAAACATAGTAAACTTTGTGGTTTTTTGAACTCGAGTTGATGAGTAATGTACCATCTATGCTATGCAGATAAAGCAGGCTTCCATGACTCTTGTCAAGATGTATATGAAAAGAGTGACAATGGAGCTTGAATCCATTCGGAATTCAGACAGAGAATCTAGTCAAGATTCCCTTCTGCTTCAGGGCGTGCATTTTGCATATCGGGCTCATCAGGTAATTTTTTTAGCAAATTTCTGCAGACTTTTTGTCATCAGTTTTGATTTTTCCTGCAACTGTAAAGGCTGTAAATCTGTAGCTTGTAAATATTCAGATATATTTCATTAAGAGTTTAGAAAAGATCATAAATTGAAGCCCTAAACTATATGCCAAAATTTCATTATTTATCACTGCCAGTCTTACTTTGGTATGTGTTATTTGTTGTAGTTTGCTGGAGGTTTGGACTCAGAAACGTTGTGTGCTTTTGAAGAGATAAGGCAACGAGTACCAGGACACCTACCAGGGTCTCGAGAACTTTTAGCTGGCATACCATCATCATGAGAAGCCACTCATTCCTTGTGCTGCTGCTAATGGTTACAAAAAACTGGCTATTAAACATTCATTATTCTTTTTCTTATCTCCAATGGTCAATGCTTGCAAGAACATTTAGAACCCCTCAGAAGGAATCTGTAGGAACATCAAGAGATTCTGAAGAAAGAACACTCCATAAATAAGTCAAATGGCTAATCTGCTATCAAATTTTCACAACCTAGGAATAGTATCTTCAGCTCAGAGTTATTTAATTTCAAAAGTGAATTTTTTTTTTTAGTTAGTTCTCTATAATGCTGTAACAAAGAACATGAAGAAGCAGCTTTGCCGTGTGTAGGTGAATATAGTTAACGTTTGCTAGGTTACTTTAATAATGTAACATTCATGTTCAATGTGTAGTGCTTGTCAAAAACATTCTGAAGCGTTTTCTACTACGTCATATAGGCAATTTGGTTCTTTACTCAAGAAGGTGAAGTTAATCTTGTTTTGTGCCAGTAAAACTCTCATGTCTGATATTTTTTTAAATAATCTTTCTTATATTAAGATACAGCTGTTAAAATATTAAATTTTATCGAGGATCTGTTGGTGTGAGTGAAAATTTTATGGATGATTTTTTTTAATACAATTCTACAAGTAAAACTGGTTCATAAAAGTTTTACCTTCATTTGTAACCCCATATCATATGAAACATACCATAAATGTAAAAACTTTCTTGTTTAAATTTTTCTCAAAAATTAAAATTGAAATTTATGATATGTAATTCTACAAGTAAAACTGGTTCATACAACATGTTTTTGCTTGTTATTACTTTAATTATCAGTATTGTGTTTTGCTTTGCTTGGCTTAATGGTTTGCCCTTCAAATAATGCTTGGCTTCTAAGCACATAGTATATGTTTTTGAGAAACGATATTTACACACATAATTTTTCATGCAGCAAACACTCATCCAGCACTATTTATTATTTAAGTAGTTTTCGTTTATGGCTTTTGCATTTTTTTATTTTATTTTTTGAAAGGTCTTAGTCTCACATCATATGAGACTCACTAATTTAAATAATAAACGATAGTTCATTGATGATTAAGATAAAAAAAAAAAATAATAATGATAGTTAGGTGAGATAATATGATTACAAAATTAGTAATAGAGAATCAAATGATAATAGCTTAGTTGACATATTTGAGTTGAACAGGTGGAGTGTGAGAGTATGCGTTCGATCCTTTTCCGTATTATCTCTGGGAAGGGTTTAAAATCTTAATCCTAACCAAATATTGTAGCTCAGTTGGCGCATGAGAGCTAAGCAGGTGGGGTGAGAGCATGTGTTCGAATCTCTCCAATATCACCTTTGGGAGGGGTTTAAAGCTTTAATCCTGGACCCGCCCCGAATTGGATTAGTTACAAAGCAATGAACCGATTAGAATATTTCCAAAAAAAAATAATTAAATCCTAAATCGATCGGAACTCCGAATTAGTTCATAAAAAAACCTATAGGATTATCGGGGGGAGAAATTAAAAAAAATAGCAACAGAGAAAACGGTGGGTTTCAAAGAGGAAAAAGGTTTGGTCAGGACTCAGGACTAGTGTCCTTTGAGTCCAACAAACCTCACACGTGTTTTCTGAAACGACACACGTCAACAAAATCCTTAACACGTGACTCCACACGTGTAGCCACTTGGCCTACGTTTTCATCGTCGGATGAACCATGACTTATCGAACGGCAGATATCAAGCTAATTCGTGCGTTGGAAGAAGGCAAAGCGTGGAAAACTAAAAAGGGTCACGCGCCAAAGGCCACGTCATTAAAGACCAATCAGAAACGGCCACGAAATCCAAATTTAAAAACATGATTGATACATTGAAATTCTCAGATAGGAACCTACCAACAGAAGAAGGAAACAAAACAAAACAAAAAGAAAGCGCTTTACGATTTCGAAAGAGTTTCACAGTCGTCACCCATGGAGGTTTCCGGCACCGTTCTCCGTCAGGTCACCGGAGCTGGGACCCATATCCCCCGCTCTTGTGGCGCGGTTCCGCGAGGAGTTTTGGCGAGGCCCAGAGTGAGAATGGTGATGGATTCTGGTTTCTGTGACGAGGGGCATTTGCGGTACTATCAGGGGACGAAAAAGGGATCAGATGTTATAACCACAAAGAAAAAGTTGAAATTGCTGAAGGGTTTGTCTAACGGCTTGACCTTGTTTCCTGAATTAGGGTTTGCTTTGGATTCCGACAAACGCGCTCTATTGAATGATCTTCAGGGAAACCTCACTTCGGTAATCTTGGTTGCTGCCAATTGTGTTTTCACTATACTGAATTTCTATTTCATTTATGCGATTTGTTACTTGTTATATTGTAATTTCTGCTTGTGTGGATGCTTAATATTGATGATGATGATTGATGTATTTTTGCCACAAAGAAATTGAAGTTTGTTGTTTAATTGCATGATGCAGGATGGTGGCGAGGTATTACTGAAAATGAAAGAGCTAGAAAAAATAAGGGCAGAGGAGAAGGAATTGAAGAGGAAAAGGAAACAAGAGAAAAAGGCCAAACTGAAAGCCTCCAAGATGAAAACTTGTGAATCTGAACCGTCTTCATCTTCATCGTCTGAATCAAGTGACAGTGACAGAGAGTGTGGTGAGGTGGTTAACATGAACAGCTTCAGGGCTGGTGTTGCCGAATTGCAGCCACCTGCTATGCAGGTTAACGTGCTCTCCCCACCGGCCTTCATGCCCCAGACCACTCCTGCTGAGGATCATGCCATGGAATTGTGTTCTAGAAATGATACCTGTGTTGGGAGCGTTAGTGCTGGCTTTAAAATTGAGGGTACTTTGGTTACCACTTCAACTCAAAAGAGGATTGAGGTCTGCATGGGTGGCAAATGCAAAAGATCTGGAGCTGCTGCATTGTTGCAAGAATTTGAGAGGGTGGTTGGATTTCAAGGTGGTGCTGTTGTTGGATGTAAGTGCATGGGCAAGTGCAAAACTGCTCCTAATGTCAGAATTCAGAATTCTGTTGATCCTAGCCTAGATGAGGGCCTTAATGATTCTGTTAAGATTCCAGCTAACCCTCTCTGCATTGGGGTTGGTTTGGAGGATGTAGATGCTATTGTGGCTAGGTTTTTAGGGGAGAATCAGAACGATATGGGGGTGGCAGTGGCAGCGGCAGCAGCAGCAGCAGCTAATTGACGGGCTACTGTGCTATTTGTAATTGTATGTGTCAGCCAGTAGAGCGGAGGAATATCATTGTCAAATACTTCTTTAAAGCTGTTCATATTGTATAAACATTAGCTATTATGAAATTTCATTTCCTTGTTTATTGGGAGTGTCATTCCACTTGTTTTACATGATACAATACTCTGGTGGCAATTAGGTATCCCCAAGTCTACGGGGACAATTTAGCTTTAAGCCTCTTTCAGATTCCTTTATTGTGATCATATTATTACCTGCATTTTAGTTACACTGTTTCGTTTCTAAATAACTGAATAATTTGAGTTTGAATTGATGATCGAAGTTGGCAGAGACTCTCTAATTTTATTATAAATAACCGTTGGGAATGAACAACAAAACCTTCCTTATCTTGAATTTTTAAGTGATTAATTTTAATGTGATTAGTATACAATCGAATCTGGTTATTTTAAGTGAATAATGTTACGTCGAAGTGATGAAACTCGTAAGATTCTCAAGTGTTTTTACCGAATACCAGTTTCAGTTATGTGCTCAGTAGGGCTTATATTCCTTCAAAAATAATTGTATTCCTAAAAAGCGAAATACACCAGTCCCTCTCTAAAAGAGCTAGATAATTAAATTGCGTACACGGGCAGCAATCTTAAAATTTGTATTGAGTAAAGCAATATACAAGTTACATTCATACGATAATGTACTCTGTACAAGTCCCTCAAACAACTGAAGGGGACAAAAGGTTAAGGGAGAACGAGCAAAGGAAACACAAAATTTTCATCCCATGCATATTTCAAAGAACCGGTCACCTCGTCCGGTCCGGCACCAGCAGCATAGTTTAGAGTTCTCAGCAGTGCTGACAACCTATTTTATATGATCTTCTGTTAATAGATTTTAGCTACAGCCCCTGCTTTAGAAGCACTTGTCGTGGGAGTGAGCAAAAGAGTGGCAACATGCAATTATTCTCCATTTTGCGCACCTGCTGTTAAAATTCCAAAGAAATATTACAGGGAAACTTTTGGACAATGATATTGCTGCAACATTCTACATCTTCTCCAAGTAGAGGTCAACATGCTCACAGCATTTTAAGACCCAATCCCAATTACACTGCCAGCAGTCATGCATGTATGTGCAGTAATGAATTTACTTACCATTTCACAGAACTTTAGGGTCATTTCCGAGGACGTTTGGGGTTGGACTGTTGTTCCGACCCATCCATGTTATCACATCTTCTAACAAACTGGTCAAGAGTTCTCTGCTTTGCAGGGCTATTCCTTGGCAGACTAGCAGAGACATCTAAGGTGTTCTCATGGCCATCTAACATCTGATTTTTCAACAACAAAAATTTAGAATGCTTCTTAAAAACATCAATCCAAACTAATAAAAACTCCTTGAGTATAAATCTTCTCTAAAAGGCAGAAATATAAATCAGAATTGGACCTCCATCTCATTTTACCATATGAAAACTGAATCTACAATTCCTTTCATTTTGCACTACATATGAGAGTTTCCGAAAATCAAAGAGATGTACCTGCCCCAAATTCTCCAGTTTGCTTTGCACTACGTCCCTAGGAAGTGAAAAATTAGAAGATCATCAATGCATCAAAGACATCAAGTCAATACCAACTACCAAGCCTCAGAGGATTGCAGAAAAACACAACCTACCATATGATGTCATCAACTGTGTCATTTGCCAGCAAGTAGTATATATTTACTGAAGACACCTGAAAATAAGAGCAGAGATTGTCCTTTGTTACTCAATCAAAATAAGCTTCGCAATGGCACATCGTTTCATTACAGAGATAATATATCGCAATTTGTTTGGAGATTGCAACAATTTCATAATGTTACCATGCTAGTACTCTTTTACAGTTATCACTAACTTTTGAACTACAAAGCTATTTTAGATCTCTCTTTTTCTTTCTCTTTCCACTTAGCACCCAAGTCTGAGAATACCTGGCCAATTCTATGAACACGGTCTTCAGCCTGAATTAGGTCACCTGGGGTCCAAGATAATTCTGCAAAGATGACTGTGCTGGCAGCAGTTAGAGTTAACCCAACTCCTCCAGCTTTAATAGATAGCTGTAAGACAACATGTGAACAGGAAAACATATCTCAAAATTGAACCATATTTCCTGTAATACCAGCATTTGAACTGGAACCGATATGGAATTGTTCTACAACAATTACCACATACACCAGAACCATAGTCCAAACTAACAAAAAGCCCAACAGAGAAAACAGAAAAATAAATACAAGGAAATATACATGAATGAAATTACCATACCACTGCTGCCTTAATAGCATCTTTTTCCTGAAACTCTGTAACCAATTGTTGCCTTGAGGCAGCGGGTGTACTTCCATCAATCCGGATGCAACCCACTTTTTTCTTCTGGAAATTTTGAACAGTTCTTATAAGCGTTTATCATTCCATGATAAGATGCGTAAAATTTAAGTGGCCTTACAAGAAGAAACTCATGTATCGAATCTATCATTGGCTGATGATGTGCGAATATAAGAAACTTGCAACCTGCCTGCAACAATCATGAAACATCTAGCGTTACCGCATGCGATGATGGACAACAGCCCAAATTAAATCACAAGAAGCAAGATGACAAAATTGAAGATGCAACTATACTTTTTTAATTAAGAATATACAGCGATTTACTGTACCATTTAATTTGAGGTGACTAGGGGGATAGCACAAGATAAACTAATCAACTCAACAACCATCTGTTCACTTTTAATCTGTTATATAATTAATGTGTGGTATGGTCACCAATTTGATCAGTCAACCCATGACATCAATAGCTACTGTGGCAGGCACGAGAAAGCGCCATAAATTGCCATTTTCTGCAGCATTATATTTGAGAATTGACACCCAAAATCAATGGTGTGAAAACATATTTTAGACAAAAGCAACCTTTAGTACTCTTTGATACAGATTAGAGATTCAGAGATTATTTCAATAAAATTTGTATTACTTTTGCTATATTTTGAACCATTATTATTAAATGGCATCAGCTCTCCCGAAAATCCAGGGAGTTCTTGCTGGTTTGTGAGAATGGAAGCCAGACTCGACTCTTTGGAGAAAGGGTTCAAAGCAGGGAGACAGGAAATGAAAGTGGAGTGGCAATGAGTTGCAAGAGGGAGGGAACTGCAAGACTCACGCAAGGACCTAAAAGAAGCCATGACTCAAGAAGATCAAAGAACTGTTGGAGAGGATCACACGAGCCACGAGGAGAGCTCCAGCATAAGGAGCATGCACTGGTACTCCAGGAAACAAAGGTGGAGAAAGTGGGTCCGTAGATGCACCGAAGAATGGGCAAGGTACGGAATGATGGAGAAGGTTGGAGATTTCCCAATTCCAAGGGGATGATGCCTATGGTTGGGTTAATAGATTGGAGAGGCATTTCCAAATAAAAGGGTAACAGATTTAGGATTGAGGGATCATTTCAATAAAATTTGTATTTCTTTTCCTATATTCTGAGCCAGTTCTATCAGGTTAAAAGTTAAAACTATGAGTTAACTGGATATGGAAGCTACATAAATACTTGGTCAGTGTACTATCAGAAATTCTACTACAATATTCAATCAATTCATTCAACTTACAGTCAGCATTAAGGGGCATCATTTTCAATAAAAGCAATTCTCACCAACATTAAACATGTTGAATAGTATTCAATGAAATAAACATGCATACATGCAATCACAATCAAAAAGAAGAGATGAGTGAAAAGCTGAAGACAGATCTTAACATTCTTTTAGTGCATATGGTTGCAGCAGTTGAAAGTATTAATCTTCAATTACTCTAAAGAGTTAGATCACAGGAGTACCTCAATGACAGTTCCAACATAATCAAGAACAGATGGAATCTTGGCTTCTGCAGAATCAGTATATATCTGGAATTGAATGAATCAAGATTCAGTGTTCAATGACATAACAGTCATGATAATTTAAACTTCCCATACACAGAGGAGCATGAACAGGCGTTGCAGTAAACTATAAACCTATTCTAGTTCTTAGAAATACTAACAATTTCTCAAACAAATTGTGCAATCCAAAATTCTGTGCACAGCTCCTTCCATCCATACCTTGTTAATAAGATTCTTTTGAGTAAATTTGAGTGATTCAGCCTCCTCTTTTGAATTAGATGCCTTAATTTTGGCTTTTACCATCTCCAACTGTAAAACAAAAGTCAATATTGGTAGGCTTTTACCACCTCAAACTGCATATGCAATATGCAAATATTACCATTTCCAAGTAAAGTGACAGATTTGGTAAAAAATTTACCACCACAGTTCTAGATAAAAATTGCAGAGCAAATTTCCAACCAATTTCAGAAGTAAAAGAAAGAAAAATAAAATACTCATAATATGAACAGCCATCTAACCGTCCAGACAAAGGAAGTCAATTTACTTGTTTGAAATTCAATAATCCTATATAACGTGAATCAAAATAATGTTATATCCCATAAAATAAGCTAAAGAATATTTCAAAGACATGTAGCAATTGCATTCCATACCTAGCTTGAGTTAAAACTTAACAAAACTAAATGATACTATCCATGTCTCAAGAAGTACAACATATATGTTGAATTACCTCACGAAATAAAGCATTAATTTGCTTCATGTCCTTGTCAGCCAATTCTAGGAAGACCTGAGAATCAATTAGAAAACAAATATAATTTTTAATTATAAAGTCCCATCAACAAGCTGTGTACATTCATACATTGAAACAAACACTGTCAAAAAATGTGCACAATTAAACAGATTGTAGAGAAGAAATGACTATAAATGTACACACTTGTTGCCTACGCTTTACAGGAAGTTCAGAAAGAACATCCTTTTTAAGTCTGCGAATCATCACCGTTGCCTTCATCAAATTGTGCAATTCTTCATGGTTACTTGCACCTTGATAAGCTCCGAAAATTCCCTGGAAGGTCCAGCTAATAATGAAAGGCTGGAATACTCATCCATTAACAGCAAAAGGAAAACTGGCTAATTAAAAGAATACTATCTGTAGGGAAGAAGAGATGACTTACACCCTTGCAATACCGGTTACCATATTCATGTACATTCCTAAATACATCAGGATACAAAGCTTCCAGCTAGAGCACAATTTCAAACAGATTATCAAAATGTAGATTCCAACAATGTCAAACGTTAATGAGGTATTACACTTAAATAGACATAAAGAAGTTACCTGCTTGAATAGTTCAATAGGTCGGGACAAAGCAGGAGTTCCACTAAGCAATATTGCATATTTAGCTTTCTGACATTGCCACACACTTTTAGTTTTTGAGTGAAAGAAAACATGACATTATTGGATAAAGAGAGATTGCTCTGCAGCTAGCAGTCTCTACGGAAACTCAACTAAATCCTTTGTACATGCCACGGACTTTATTTTTTCTTACTTTTTTTTTGTTTAAATATGTTTTTATTTTTAATTCTCTCTCTTCACATTTTATCTTTTCCTTATAAGCTTTCTATGTTCATTAAACATGAACTTACTTTAGAAGTAAGTATACCAGACCAGAAGCATGCATGTGATTGTGGCTTTCAAGAGTGAATACCTTTATAACTGGAAGAGAAGCAGTTGTCCTCTTTGCCTGAGCATTTTTCAGAAAATGTGATTCATCTGCAATCACAACCTGAATAAAAATGGTTTACAGCTAAGACTATGATGTATCAGCAATAACTGGAACCATATCTACCATGGACACAGGTACATGCTGACCCAGTCATTGCTTCAGGAAAAGCACTGATCGTACATTACATAACCCAATAATAATACAGTAATTAAAATGACAAAAGTGAATGTTACTTGGCCACTTGCCCAAACCGTTTTCAATTTTTGGAGACCATGATGGAAACCAAAAGAAAAAAATAATTTCTATAATACTTTTTATTTTTGGAAGATAATAGATTCGATAGCTGCTAGATACTCAGAAATTCACATGCAACCTGAAACTAATGATATCATGCATTGCAATCATTATCAGATAATTTTGATTTGTGTGGATAAGGAAAGTCATTTTCATTTAATGATCAAAGACTAATAGACATCATTGCTAAAAGACCCAAAAGAAGGGGGAAATAGCAAATGTTGCATACAACTCATTTTTCAAGGAACACACCTTTTAACAGCCTAGCATAATGCACTGTTGATCATCATGAGCCTTAGTCTTACAATTTACAAACATGAAGTACTTTATTAAATTTCATGTATTTCAACACTTTGATCACAATATATACATGAATTCATTCATTGTGCTCAGTGTGCCTCTGAGGAATGACCAAAAGCAAATACTGACATATGGTTAAGATCAGGACACAGGAATAGGAACCACTATGAAAGTCAGAAAAATTAAATAACTGGATGTCACTAACCTTAAAGTTGGATGCTATAAGCATATTCTGTAGCTTTGGCACCAAATCATATGAGATGATGTTGAATAGTCCATCCAGGTGAATGCTGCTTTTGGCACTTGAAGATACTATATTGAAACCTCCTCGGTTTGATCCACCACTTTGAGATAAGACAATCTACTCAAGATAATTAGTTATTATAAGAGGATTCATAATATGAAATAAGTGACATACTTCAAAGAAGGAAAACCTAAAGCAACCAATAGAATCTTCTAAAGTTTTCTATACAAACCAAAAGGGAATCAAATCAACAATAAAGAAAATTCAATAAAGGGATCACGGATAACATACAAGAATATCTGATGAAGGAATATTCAGCCATTGTTGAATCATCTAAATTAAAAAAAAAAAAAAAAAAAAAACATATATGTTACCATATGTGTTCCATAAAAGGATGAAAAATGTAGAAATACAACCCTTACTGAAGCCCACTGCAAGCGTAACGAAGATGGTGCAAGGATGAGAACAGGCCATGAGTCCGGAATGCATGCAGCTACAGCAATGGCCTGCAAAAGCCAAGAAAAATTATACACGCAACACTTTATGATACTCCAACAGAATAAATATTCCTCACTGTTCTTCCCTAAGGGAGACAGGGAAAGAGAGAAAAGGGACAAAGGAGAGAAACCAAAGCAAAAGCTTACTAATGATAAACAGGTTTCCTTCCCACCATTACCTTACTTTCCCCTTCTCCCAAACAGGCATAAAATGTCCCAAATTTCATATCCCATTTATCTAGTTTTGTGATTTCCTCTCAATAATTTATTTTTTCATTCTGAAATTCAAAAGACAACTGATTTTTTTAGAATCAATAATTAATGAGATGTCACATGAAAAAATATAAGCATCCTCAAAATATGCATTATTTTTTTTTTTTTGATAACAAAATATGCATTATTTTAAACTAATGTAGACTCTTACAAAATAGAAGCATAATTATGGTGATGTAAACATTATTTAGCCTGCCTAGTCACCAAAAGCAAAATTGAGATCTAGCCACTCATGCATAGCAAATATGTATTATTATTGAAAAGAAGTTTTTGTATATTTCATATTGAATAAATTACATGAGTGAGTATTTATACAAGAAAGAATCGCTAAGAATGACTAAGCGATGACTAATCAATCCTATCACAATCCTAATCACAATTAATTCTAATCAATCACAATCAATCCTAATCAATCCTAATTAATAGGAAATAAAAACGGAAACATGTTTGAATTCTAATTTTCTACACTCCCCCTCAAGTTGGGAGGTAAATATTGATCATTCTCAACTTGCCAATCAAGTCTTCGAATGCTGGACGGTGTAGGCCCTTGGTAAGGACATCTGCCGTTTGCTCTTTGGTTGGAACATATATCAAACGCACACTTCCATCATCTAATTTTTCTTTGATGAAGTGACGATCAACTTCCACGTGCTTTGTTCGATCATGATGCACAGGATTTTGAGCAATGCTAACAGCTACCTTGTTGTCACAATATAGTTTTATTGGTAAGGAATATGAAATCTTCAACTCTTGAAGAAGTCTTCTCAACCAGATTCCTTTACAAACTCCATGAGCTAAAGCTCGAAATTCTGCTTCAGCACTACTTCTTGCAACCACTGTTTGCTTTTTGCTTCTCCAAGTAACAAGATTTCCCCACACATAGGTGCAATAGCCTGAGGTAGATCTCCTGTCTACTGATGAGCCTGCCCAATCTGCATCAGTGTAGATTTCAATTGTCCTTTTATACCCCTTTTTAAAGAATAATCCTCTTCCTGGAGTATTCTTGAGGTATCTAAGCACCCTATAGACTGCACTAAGATGTTTCTCCTTGGGTGAGTGCATGAATTGACTAATCATACTCACCGCAAAGGCAATGTCAGGACGCGTATGAGATAAGTAGATTAGTTTACCAACCAATTGCTGATATTGTTCTTTATCCACCTCATTCCCATCTTCAATATCTAACTTGGTATTAGGTTCCACAGGTGTCTCAGCAGGTTTACACCCTAACATTCCTGTTTCCAACAAAAGATCTAGAACATATTTCTTTTGTGTTAAAGTGATGCCTGTTTTGCTCCTAGCAACTTCCATACCAAGGAAATATTTGAGAGTGCCAAGGTCTTTGAGTTCAAATTGAGCTGCTAGAAATTTCTTCAAGGTGTTCAATTCCTCAATGTCATCACCTGTAAGAATTATATCATCTACATATACAATAAGAATAGCAATTTTACCATCCTTAGAGTGTTTGTGGAAGAGAGTATGATCAGTCTGTGCTTGAATGAAGCCTCTTCTTTTGACTGCTTGTGTGAATTTGTCGAACCATTCTCTGGGAGACTGTTTCAATCCATATAGAGACTTTTTTAGTTTACACACTGATCCATTTCCCTTTTCAAAACCAGGTGGAGGATCCATATAGACTTCTTCATGTAAGTCACCATTTAGGAATGCATTCTTCACATCTAACTGTTGCAGAGGCCAATCTAGATTGGCAGCAAGAGATAAGAGAACTCGGATGGTATTGACTTTAGCAACCGGAGCAAAAGTCTCATGATAATCTATCCCGTGAGTCTGAGTGAAACCCTTTGCAACCAATCTTGCCTTGTATCTGTTGATGCTATTATCTGCATTGAATTTTATTGTAAACACCCATTTGCATCCTACTGCTTTTTTTCCTTTGGGTAGGGTCACTATCTCCCAAGTTCCATTTCTTTCTAAAGCATTCATTTCTTCAAAGACAGCATCCCTCCATTTTTTATCATTGAGAGCCTCATGTATATTTCTCGGTATCTTTGTACTATCCAACATAGTATTGAAAGCACGAAACCCTGGGGACAACTTTCCATATGAAATATGATTAGAAATAGGATGAGTAGTACAAGATCGAGTACCTTTTCTGAGAGCAATGGGCAAGTGTAGATCATTTTCACCATGACACTCAAGTATTGGGGTGCTGGAACTAGAACATGGTTCAGAATCCTGGCAGTGTAGAGGCTCTGGGTTATTCACACTTTGAGGAGGCTTTCGCTTGCTATAAACTTGTCCCCATTTTGAGGAGGCTTCTGATGGTGAGGATTCTGTAGCTCCCCCTGTTTCCAAAAGTAGAGGTAATACTGTGGCATTAATAGGTTCCCATGACTGATCTTCATCTACTCCTATAGACTCCCCCTGAAGAGAAGTCGAGGGGAAGAAAGGGTCATTCTCAGAAAAAGTGACATCCATAGAGACAAAGACCTTACGAAGAGAGGGTGAATAACACTTATAGCCACGTTGAGTAGGAGAATAACCAATAAAGACACACTGGAGAGACTTAGGATCAAGCTTAGACCGTTGATGGGAGGGAATATGGACAAATACAACACAACCAAATAACTTGAGAGGTAAGGAGGAGACACCTCGGAAGGAAGGGAAGATACAAACAAGACTAGAAAGAGGAGACTGAAATTTCAGAATGCGAGATGGCATTCGATTTATCAGATACGAGGCAGTGAGAACTGCCTCTCCCCAAAGATATTTAGGAACACTCGTGGTAAACATAAGAGCACGAGCAACTTCAAGGAGATGTCGGTTTTTTCTTTCCGCAACTCCGTTTTGTTGGGGTGTGTCAGGACACGAGCTTTGGTGAAGGATGCCATGTTGGGAAAGGTATTCTCCAAGAATAGAGTTAAAATACTCTTTGCCATTATCTGTACGAAGAATTTGTATAGCAACTTGGAATTGGGTTTGAACCATGGCATGAAATTTTTTAAACACGGATGCAGCATCGGACTTATCCTTTAGAAGATACACCCAACAAACTCGAGAATGGTCATCAATGAAGGTAATGAACCATCGAGTACCTGAAATATTTTTAACACGGGCTGGACCCCATATGTCGCTATGAATTAAGGAAAATGGGGAAGAGTCATGGTGAACTTTAGAAGGATAATGAGCACGAGTATGCTTGGCAAGTTGACAAATATCACAAGAAAACAAACTTGGACTTTTATTAATAAATAAGTTTGGCAACAACTTCTGAAGATAAATAAAATTTGGATGGCCTAGCCTACGATGCCACAACATAACATCATTACATGAATCAAAAGGAAACATAGAGTTTTTTTCTACGAAAACAGCTTCATGAGTCACATCCTCCTCAAAGTAGTAAAGTCCACCATCCTCTCTAGCACTGCCAATCATCCTCTCCGAGTCCTGTTCCTGAAAAACACAACCATGTGGAAAGAATTTAGCAAAGCAATGCAACTCAGAGGTGAGCTTGCTAATGGAAATGAGATTACAAGTCAGAGAAGGAACATAAAGAACTGATGTCAAAGTAACCAGCTCAGAAAGTTTAATGGTTCCGTGTCCTGCAATCTGGGAAAAACTGCCATCGGCGATCTTGACCCGAGAAGGTTCAGAATATGGAGTGTATGAACAAAACAAGCCAAGATTACCTGTCATATGATCAGAGGCTCCAGAATCAAGGATCCAATGATTTTGACTATCAACATGGAAAGCTGTACCTTGCTGGACCACATGACTAGTGGCCTTAGGAGGTTGAGTCAAAAGTCTCTGAAGTTGTTCAAACTGAGTCTTGCTAAGAAAGACACCATCAGAGTCAGAGGATGCATGAGGCTCATCAACCTTGTCATCAGTAGAGACCTGATATGCACGACCTTTATTTTGTCCTTTGGGCTTCCAATTTGCAGGTTTCCCGTGGATTTCCCAACATTTCTCACGGGTATGACCAATTTTATTGCAGTGGGTGCACAATGGACGACCATCCCGTTTTGATTCTCCGGAGGAACGGTCAATGGTACGGTTGGCAGCTAATGCAGACATATCATCAGACTTATCAAGCGACTCCTTTTCTCCCAGCATAACTCTCCGTCTACTGGCTTCTCGACGAACTTCAGCAAAGGCGTCAGCAAGTGAAGGTAACGGTCGCTGCCCCAATATTCGACCACGAACCTCATCAAGATCTCGGTTGAGTCCGGCAAGGAAATCATACAGTCTTTTCTTCTCCAAGTGTTTTCTAAATTGGGTATTAGCTTCCAATCCCTTAAGATCAGATGCATAATAAAGATCCAATTCCTGCCATAAATTCGTTAGTGCAGTAAAATATTCAGTAACAGTCATACCCCTTTGACGAAAGTCTCTCAACTTATTTCTCAGTTCAAAAACTTGAGAGGTATTCTCCAGATCAGAGTAATTTTGTTGAACAGCATCCCAAATTTCCTTGGCAGTATCAAAGAACAGATAGGTTTGGCCAATCTGTGGTTCCATGGAATTAGTCAGCCAAGCCATGACCAAGGAATTATTAATCTCCCAATCGTCATAATCAGGAGAATTCTCAGTAGGTTTCTTAATTTTTCCCTCAAGATAGCCCATCTTACCCTTTGCCCGGATGACCAACTTAACCGATTGAAACCATTGCAGAAAATTCTTACCGTTCAACCGGTGATTGGTGATCTGCAAACCTAAGTTGTCTCCAGAGGACTGAGAATTTGGGGCAGATGAGGAGGCGGAAGAGTGTTTTGAGGAAGCCATGAATAAAAAGAGAAGGGTTGACCGTTGATGAAAAATCAAGTTTTGTAAACTTTTGATCTGACCTCTGGAACAGGAAGGGGAGAAGCCGGGGAGAAGGTCTGTGCAAGTCGCGATGGAAAAATACGTCTGGAAGGCGACGCGTGGAGCTCACGCGCCGGAGACTGGACGCGCGTGTGACGGCGCGTGGTGGCGCGTGCAGCGGCTGACGGCGATGGGTCCAGCGGCGGTCGACTCGTCGGATCCTTCTGAGTCGAATGGTCACCTCACTTTCTTGATCGGAGGTCAGTAAACTAGGTTTCTGTGTTGGACAGATTCAAGGAGGTGTTTAGGAGGTGTTTGACGGTGATGGAAGTGTTTGGATGGTTATTTCAGATTTGAATTAGGGTAGGAACGAACCCGCTCTGATACCATATTGAAAAGAAGTTTTTGTATATTTCATATTGAATAAATTACATGAGTGAGTATTTATACAAGAAAGAATCGCTAAGAATGACTAAGCGATGACTAATCAATCCTATCACAATCCTAATCACAATTAATTCTAATCAATCATAATCAATCCTAATCAATCATAATCAATCCTAATCAATCCTAATTAATAGGAAGTAAAAACGGAAACATGTTTGAATTCTAATTTTCTACAGCAATTCCATTATCTGAGAAATAATAAATTTGTTGAATGTCGTTGGTGTATAGGCTTTTGGCTTCCTCTCATACGTCATAGCAAGTCTCAAAGGGGATAACAATATCTATAATCAATGGATTGTCAAATGATACTCAAGAGTTGAGTATCAATCTTTTTCCCAATCAGATTTTTAATTCTTGGAAATATCAGCAAACTTGGCCATGAGATGTTTCCCGTGTCCCTGACCAGTAAACCAGATCTTAACAGAGGTAGACCAAGTCTTGTAAGTAGTAGATCTGTTTAGTTTCATCATTGTAATGGATGGGATAGTATCGGAGATAGCAAGAAGTGTTTTTGATCATATTACTTAAGCCCTCTATCACATCTTAGATGTAAGAACCTGCAAAAATAAAAGAGACGAATAAAGAATAACAAGGAAGCAAGAAATCGCGCGTAAACGTCACAAAAAGTGTCTAAAAATGAGTTTTTCACTGAAATCTTCCTAATGGATGGGACCAAAAAGAATGGAGACCATATTTGGAAAGAATATGAGAAGGCAAGCAAGATAGCGGTGGTCCGGCCCAAAATGGCGGCCAGACGACTGCTCACGTGCCGAAAAAGTGGTGTTGTTGCCGGAATCTTCCACCAGTGCATGGTGAGGCATGGCTACTCGGTGACTGCGCGACTTGGACAGACGAGGTAGCCTCCTCGAGCCAGTCCTGGTCGCGAAGCTATTTGTCGCAAAACTCGCCAGAATAGTGCTTCGGCGGCGACAAATAGTGGTGAACGATGATTTCGAGGATGAACAATGGTTGACAATGTTTTTTCGACAATCTGAGGTTGAAGATAGGCGATAGTGACCAAATGAGGGTTAGGTACTAAAAGTGGGTTTCTAATACGATGCACAACAAGTATGACTTGCCAAAATGACGTACGACAAGATTTTTCTGCGGAAGCGAGGTTTCCCAGAACACAAGTTGTGCACTAACTTGAGAATATGGAAACATAAATATTGTATTGTGTATTGAACTGATACAAAAATGTATAATATATGGAAACCCTAATGGACTTAAAAGAGAACCCAAAATCTAAATCAAATTCTATTGAAATAAGAAAACAAATATTTACAGATAATATTTCTAACACATACAACATAGAGAATAAGAAAATTATTTAGGGGAAGAGAAGGCTGAAGAGGAGAAAAATTAAAGGGGAAAAAGGCCTACAAAAATAAAATAAAATAAAGGACAATAACAAAACAAAGAGAAACCTTGAATGATTTTTAAAGAGTTTTTTAATAAAATATATAAATCCCTATTACAATATGCTAAAACCCTTCCACTATTGTCCTGTTGCTAAAGTTTTATTATTAAACTTTGTTATGAACATTATCAGCATGGCATATTAAAGAGAGTTACTCATGAACTTAAATAGAAGAAGGGATTTTGAGTCGATAAAAGTTTAAAGTAATAATTTTTCAGTATTCCTGAAACAAAACTTTTAGTAGTTATTAGAAAAAACTAAAAAACTAATCAATTCAGTCGCCATTCATAAGTGAAGTTTAATAAGTATAAGAATTTACATGCACTATAATTTATAAAGATGAAAAAATATTTCTCTAGTAATTATAGATAAATTATCTGTATTTACTCTCAAAATGATATATTTTTTTTATTGAAAGATTAAAATTATAATGATAAAGATTATATTAACCTTGAAATAAATTAAAACTATAAAAATATCTTGAATTTCGCTTCAAACAATATCATTTTGAGTTGAATTTAAATAATTTATCTGTATTTACTGTAAAAAAACATACCCATAATATTTATGTTATTATATTAAAATCCTATGCACAAATTCCGTGTTAAGAGTATATTAATAATATTTTTTAAGGCCAATTAGTTTCTTTTTGTCGTTGGGGAAGAAACTAATTGCCTCATGCATACACATTAAAAACTGTGTCAATGTTTTTTTTTTAACACAATTTTTTTTTTCTATCAACAGGATATCCAAAGTTTTTTGTATAACAGGAAAGACTTAAAGCCATTTTTTTTTTTAAATTATTCAATGATACTTTAGTCATTTAAATCTCATTTGTTTGAAAAATATTAAACCAATTTAATAATACTCATAATGCTTCTGTTTTTATCTTACCTTTTTTAGGTTCGCGTGACTTTTTCGTTAAACGTTGAATTCTACAATTGCGACTATTTGAAATTTTTTCTCAAAAGCTAACATACCCGGCCGTTCCAATTTTTTTTTAATACAAAGACGAAATTGTTATGTTTTTTCAAATAAATTATTTAAATGTTACGTTTATTAAAAAATTAATAAAATATCGCGGATCTACTCACACGACACGGTCAAACAAATATGATCAAGTAACCTAACTGTATATAGTATATACGGACTGTTTGTCACACATGCAAAAAACTTATAGTGGCAAAAAATAAAAAAAGAATATTACTGTTTTAATAAATAATTATGAATATATAATTATTTTAAAATTATTTAAAAATTTATTGCAATCATTCGTGTCCAAATTGATATGCAGTTTTTAAAAAAGGTTTTTGAAAAAATAATAATATAATATAATGTGATCCCATTTAAACAAAAATTAACATGTGATTTTTTTGGCTCGGAAGTCCAAATCAATTTTTTTTATTCCACATAATTTTTTGATATCTACGCACTAAAAGATTTTCGAAGAATTATTTGTTAATGTTGATAAGTAAAAAATTAAATAACATTATTCACAAAGATAAAATATGCCAAAAAGGCATCCAATTACAGATTTTTCATGGGACTCCTAAATTCTTCCGGTGGACTTTATGCTCTGAAACATGATAAGAGGGGATTTGAGGTGCTATATATATTTGTAATAATGCATTCTTCGGTGTTTATAATAGTATAATTCACCTCAAACCCTCTTATTAAAGCATTTTTTAAAGCAGATTACCAAAAAAAGAAGAAGCATTTTTTTTTTTTTTGGAAACTGATCCTGATTACCTCTTTGAGGCGAATCAGAACCCCCGGTATTCCCACGAGTTTCGACTCTTTGAGCCGCCTATATGACTAATCCAGAGTTCGGGTGCGAGTCCAAGGATTACCAAAAAAAGAAGAAGCATTTTTTAATGCAACTTAAAGAACATTATATTCTCACTAATCTCTCTTGCATTTTTATATTGTGCTTTACTCATAATATCATACACTTTTTTTTTTCAAACACTCGATAGAAAGTATATATTTTACTATGACATTAAGTATCCTTATTTAAAGATGGACTAATCCACTTTAGTGCCATTTTTAATTTCAGACCACGAATTACAAGATAAAGTCTCAATTCACAGTGATAAGAATATAATCCATAGAATAGGGATACAGAGGTTCTAGTAAGCAAGAGATTGCGTTTGGTGTTGATTCAGAAAGAACTATGAGGCTTCTCGATTTAAACGCTCTTATAGTATCATTGTTGCAAATTCAAAGTGTGTCTGTGAGAGATAAAATATGCCAAATGAGATGTCATTGCGTAGATATTGAAAAGTTATGTGGAATCAATTTTTTTTACCTGATTCAGATATTGGAGTTAAAAGTTATGACCTTCCGAAATTTTATGATTAAATTATTAATTTTTTGTGCCACGTGTCAATACTATAGGACTCACGCCTAATTTGGGCGGTAATGCCTCATGAGTCACGCCTAACTTAGGGGGTGTATTGGATTGGAATTTCAAAGGATTTTAATGGATTATTTTTGGACAAAAAAATTCATTGGTATTCGATTAGGATTTTAATTGATTGAAAAAAAGTCACGTGGTATTCAATTGAGATTTTAAAAGATTATTTTATAGTCCGTCCAAACCCGTTGGTATTCAATCAAGATTTTAAACAATGAAAAAATAATCTTGTGGTATTCAAAAATCTAACGATTTTAATGGATTTTCTATTGGCGTGGATTTCCTGAGACTTTTTAATAAGAAATATAAATAGGATGCGTCTCTCACAATCTTATCATAACCATAGGATTTCTTGAGATTTCTCTATTGTAGTTTTTTATTCTTCCTTTGACAGGTTGACCCGCTCGAAATCGGTTTCCGCCAGGGGAGCTTCGTTAAAACTTAAAAAAAGCATATTTTTGAGCGATTTTCTTCACAAAACAACCCAAAACAATAAATGAACGAGATTTTAAAATAATCTATCTCAAAAATAACATATTTTTAAGCCATTTTTAAGAAATTTTGGAAGTTTAGAAAGTGATTTTTCAAGCTACGGGTCACAGTTTTTCTTGTAACAAAAATGTGTGTTTTATGTATTAAAAACAACTTAAAACAGTGAAAAAATAGTATGGAAACCAAAACTCTCAATCCAATTTCCATTTTACATCAATGAAACACTATCAGTTTAAAAAAAGATTAAAACTTTCATAATATGAACCATATATTTCGTAACAATACATTCATGAATGAAATTTCTTCACTATAGAAAACGATTTCAAACAATTTTTGTGTCCATAGATAACTAAAACTTGTTTTTCATAAGCCCCAAAGAAATTTAAGGTTTTAATGTATAAAAAATTTGAGAAATTTTCTAAACTTTCATGTAATAAAATTCAATAATTCAGATTCGAAATTTTTTTAGAATATTCAATGAAAATATGCATATGATATATGGTTAGAAAACTCTCATAGCGTAGAACAAAAACCCTAAGGTTTTTAAGATCAAATGCAAAAAATTTCAAACAAAATTTTATCAGGAACTTTAGGTTCTATATGCAAATTTAGAATTATTTTAATAATTAAAAAAAATTGAGTCTTATAATCATATATTCATAACTTTGATAACAAATGAAGAAGATAATTTTTAATCTATTGGTCAAACTCAAGAGCAGAAACGAGAAAATGTTAATGCATGGAGGACTAGTATAACTTTAGATATGTGAAAAGCTGTTGTTTAGTAATTTTGAATGTTTGTTACAAATTATATTAGGTTTTACTTTTTTTTATTAATTTAATTGCATTTCTTTGTTACTTTTTTTTTGGATTGACTCTTGTAATTTTGAACGTTTGTTAAAAATTCATATGATTATTTAAAATCTTATAAAATCATATTGTCCTTTCAAATATTATAAACTCTATTAAACTCCTTTAAAATCAAATCTTATGAAATCTTGATTATAAAAAAAGTCTTTAAAGTCTCTCCAATTCTAAATAGTATTTCAAAATCTATAAGAATTTTTTTATCTCAAAAAGTCTTTTAAAATGCTAATCCAATACACCCCCTTAGGCTTGTATGATTATGCCCAATTTGGACGTGAATGAGTGCAATAGATTCATAAATAGTTTCAAAATAGCTATATATTCGTAATTATTTATTAAAATAATAATATTTTAATTTTTTTGACCCAAAATAGTTGTTGATTTTTTATGGAAGGTTCTCACGCGACGCATGGTAAACTTGATGGAATAGTAACCAAGGTGCCATAATTTTTTATTCAAACACCACGCAGATAGTATTTTTTGACTTAATTGCCACGCATCGAAGTTCTTTCTAGTAGTAAACTTGGTTAGCTTATGATTTCGTGACATGTGACACATTTTCGCAGAAAAAATTGACTGGACCAAGTTCGCTACCACCGGTAGCGAGTGAACTTGGTACCCTATATGCTAATGGGAACGTGCCACGTGGCCTAACCAAGTTCGCTACCAGTCGTAGCGAACTTCGACTCGTGATAGTCTGATAAAAATATTGTTCCTGTGGCATTTAAATAAAAAATTATAAAAAATATGACACTTTAGTTATTGTTCCAAACTAGACCTCTTAAAACTAACAGTGGAATCTATAACGTAACATTTTAACAATTTTTTTTAAATGTGACATTTAAATAATTTATTTGAAAAAATATACATATTTTAATGGAAAATGATAAAAAGTAAGAATCAATGTCCATGAAACATGCATAAAAACATTTCAAAATCTTTTGAACTTAATACAGCCATTGTTAGCACATATAGGGGCCTAAACACCGAGGTTATCAATAAGGTCAATGTTGTTAAAATTGAGATTTTAAGTAAAATTAAAAGGGGACTAAAAAATCGTAAATCGTAAAATCATAACGCAAAAAATCGTAAAAAATCATAAAAACGTAAAAACGTTTGGAATATTGGTAAAATTGTTTTGATGAAAAAAAATCTAAAAAACGTAAGATCGTCGTGATAAATCGAGATTTTAACAACTATGAACAAGGCGGATTAAGTAATTCCAACTAGGAAAAAATATGTATCATTCTAAAAGATATAAAATTATATCATTTTAAGTGAGAGAAGAAGATAAATCACGGGAGAGAGCGAGAGAAAAAAGTTTTAAAGATGTGAAGTGTATCATTTAAAATGACACACCTTTTTTCCTACATTTAAATCCAAAATTTTAAGTAACTAAACACATTTTATGTAACTCATTTCTAATTGATGTGAAATTATCTTTATACTTTTTTTAAGTTCTCTAACAGCTCATTAATTATTCAAGGAGTAGCAACAAAACTCTTTTCATTAAAATTTTAGGGAAAAATATTTGTCATTTAAAGAATATAAAGTTGTGTCATTTTAAGTGAGAAAAAAAGATAGATCATGAGAGAAAGAGAGTGGACAAAAATAAAAATAAAGGTATAAGTCTCACTTATTTGTGAGAGTGAAATGACACAAATTATATCATTTTAAAAAATAAACACTTTACCCAAAATTTTAATACAACTATAAATAAACTTGAACTCACACCACTTATTAAAGCTATAACAACCTATACAAGTTAATTCATGTGCTTGATACTAAGAATTGAATTTCGAACGTCTATCATTATCTATATTCATTTATTTTAATCTACACTTGCCACTTGCCAGTGTTCTTTATTAGTAGCTATGTGACATTGAGATGGGAAACCATACTTATTAAAATCGGAACGATGCGGCCGGGTCAACCCTGGAACCAGTAAATCGGTCATATAATCGGTTTGATTGAAGCAACGGACAGGCCATGCATCAGAACCGGTGCGACCCGGTCCGATTCGGCCGATTTTCATAAAATCGGTGACCTGGTCGGTTAACTGGTGACCCGGCCCGGTTCCAAAAAAAAATAAATCCAAATTTTTATTTTTTTCAAAAAAAATCATAATATATTTGAATATTTTTTTCTTATTGACTTACATATGTTATGTACTTACAACACTAATATTATCTCAATTATGTACTATGCATAAAAATTTGAATTAATTTATAGTTAGAAATGTCGTTTTATGAACCTAAAGTCTAGTATCACGATCATTATAATTTTGTTTGATTTTTTATTTGATAATAATATGTGATTTATTATTTTTTGTATTAAAATATTTGAAATATTTATTAATTTTTTTAGATACTTGAGTATGTTATAATTTTTTAATATAAATTATAAAATTGCATATAATTACCGGGTCTTGCGGTTGAACCAGAAACCCACTGGTTGAACCAGTGACCCAGTACTTCGACCGGGTTAATGACCGGGCCGGTTTTAATAACATTGTGGGACACGCGATACGATATGATATGACACTTCACATGTTAATTTTAAAAAAAATTAATTTTCGATAGTTAGGATACGTTTTGATATTATATATTATTTTTAATTTATGTAGTATTTATTATATTTAATATTCAATAATTTAAAAAAAAATAAAGCTAAATTTATAATACTCATCAATTTTGCAAAGGAACATAAGATATTCCAAATGTTTATATTAAACTCAATTGTAATTCAACGAATCTAATAGTTAGAATTCAAAATGAAACACAATGTAATCTTTGAACCTTTTTTTAATATTTACAACGAGTATTAGAGTATCAAGAAGTGTCAGAGTGTCAAAAAATATAAGACACGATACTTAAAATATTTTGAAATATTGTGGTTCATAGACTACTAGGATAACAAGTCAACATACCACTCCACGGCTCCCGAAACCATAGCCTTCGAATTGTGGTCTGAAAGGACATGCCTTCACTCTTATCCGTAGGGAAATATTAATGTCATGTCACATAAGACAACAAATCTCTTTTACACACTAAAAAAGATACGAGTTTCATTTTAATTTTTTTTTCTTTTTTTCTATGCAATGGGACCCACATGAAATTATGAGTGGAACATGAGATAAATATCTATTGTTGCAAGATAAAATATAATCCCATAATTAAAAACAAAAACCGTCACCTTACTCTTCTATTATTAAACGCTTTAATATTATTTCCCAACCCGCGTAACAAAACCAGCGTCACCCGAAAATGTGGTCGATTAAAATCACCCTCTAGCTCCAAATGCAAGTCTGCAAAATCTTTCGTTCCTGATACTTGATCACCGCTTTCTTCAACGTGGCTTCATGATAAAAATGAAGGCTGCGACAAATTGCGCTCATTCTGGACACTTGGTTTGTAAGTTTTCTCATGTATCTGCTGTTGGCTTCATTATGTACTAACAGATATGCTTCAATATTCAACTGACATGCTTTTAATGGGATGCTTTGATGTTGCAGATTCTAAAACTGAAATATCTGATGTTCCATTGCTGTCTTGCTCCGAGGTCTAATATTTTCTTTTGCCTTCAACATTTTACATTTCGCATTGACAATTTTGATTAGCTCCATAGTCCAAGGTTGCTAATGGTTTCTTTCATTTTTTTTTTCATTTATAAGGCCATTGAAAAGCTAAAATCATTCAGAGAAAAGCTAAAGGGGAAGCAGCAATATCTTGCCATGTATTCTAGCATTTTTTGTGGGATAACAACAGACCCAGCTGCTATGGTTATCCCCATGGATGACCACATGGTCCATAGAGGCCATGGTGTCTTTGATACTACAGCAATAATGGACGGGTTAGTGATTTCCTCCTCATAACAAAGACTATTTTTTTATTCTGGAGTGAACATGAGAAGTTCAGTTTGATCCCATTTTGAAGTTAAAAGAGGATCTCTCATTTTTTTTTTTTTTTATGTAGATTTCACATAGTGAGTCTGTTGATCTACTATATATGCCATTAATTAGTTCTGAAATATGACATATTCTTGAATCCAATCTTGCACATAAGAATATATGGTTTAGGTCCTAACTCCTAAGCACATACTGGTTAATTTTTCAAGTTAACAAAAACTAACTCCATTGTGCACATCCATCCCCACGCCCCCGAGAAGGGACGAAGAATTATTACTAAATAAACAAGGTGTTGGATATAAAACCCCCAAGAATTACTACTTAACAAAGATGTTACATATAAAACCCCCCAACTATCCCAAATGCTTCAGGGGATCCCTTGGGCGTGGGAAAGAATTACCAAGTGGTCAAGATAGTTTTATCCTTGACACCCCTAAGCTTACCCTCCCTCACCATGTCAATGAAAAATTGAAAATCTAACTCAAAAGTTGAACTGGTTAGATGAAGGGTCATTAATGATTTGTGTACTCATCAAAGTTATGAAATACGCTTATTTATGACATACTATAAAGTCTCTTATTTATCTATGTTCTTTTCCTGTCTACTTTTTAAGCAGTCAAGTGATGAATTTTATGCATTATAGATACCTCTACGATCTAGATCAACACCTTGATCGCTTTCTAAGGTCAGCATCCATGGCTAAAATAAATCCTCCATTTGATCGTGGAAGCATACGAAGAATACTCATACAAACTGTAAGTGCTTCCAAGTGTAGAAATGGATCGCTAAGATATTGGCTCTCAGCAGGACCTGGAGATTTTGAGCTATCTAGCTGCCACCAATCGGCTCTTTATGCAATTGTAATACAGGATCTGTCACTGCTTAATATCAGAGGAGTTAAAGTGGTGACTTCATCTGTTCCCATTAAACCTCCCCAGTTTGCAGCCATTAAAAGTGTGAATTACCTTCCAAATGTGCTCTCAAAGATGGAAGCTGAAGAAGTTGGTGCTTTTGCAGGCATTTGGCTTGATAGTGATGGGTTTGTTGCTGAAGGGCCTAGTATGAACTTGGCTTTTGTCAGTGAAGAGAATGAACTTATAATGCCTCAATGTGACAAAATTCTAAGTGGATGCACAGCCAAGAGAGTTTTAACCCTTGCTGAGTGTTTGGTGAGGGAGGGTAAGCTTCAGGGGATAAGGATGAAAAACGTGACCGTGAAAGAAGGGAAGAAAGCAAATGAAATGATGCTTCTTGGCAGTGGAATTCTTGTTCGCCCTGTAGTGCAGTGGGATGAGCAGATCATTGGAGATGGTTAGTACTTACTTAGATTAATATATACATTCTAAGCATTTCAATTTGTTATATGTGGATCAATATGTGATATATAAGACTTGTTTTGACTAAATGAATAGGCGCAGCTTATAATAAGCTTGGATGTACGATGTTCTTTCTGTGGCTTGTTGTTGTGGTTCTTAAAAAACTATCATAATAAAGCATATATACTTGCCTGTTAATATCTTTAAACCAGATGTTTTTCTTTTTACTGCTGGTTTTGTTAGCTACTGATAATAATGGTAAGTGCAGGATTTTGCTTTCTATGGAAGTGATAACTTCAAGGAAGCATGGACCCTTTCCCTGCTAGTTTAAGGGACCACCTGTCAATTGTCCTTATTTGGGGTCGTGTTGATAGTTTGATCATGCTACAAAATCCTCTTGCAGTGTTGTTATTTTGGTTACTGTCATTAAAGGTTGTATTGTATCTGCAACAAATTTTATACATGCGGTTCTTAGTCATTTGAGGCTAAAACTTTTACCAATAATACTCTTGTTTTATTGTTTGGTTGTGGCCTTTAGACATGTCATATATTAATCATTGTTAAATTTGACGTTGCTTATGCTTTTCATAATTTGAGTTTTTTTTTTTTTTTTTTCATTGTGCATTTCTTGTGGTGTATAGACATTAGTAGATTGAATATTCTTCCCTTTCTACGAGTTGATTTGATTTTGTTATTCATTTCTTGTAGGCAATGAAGGACCTATAACCCAGGCTCTCTTGAATCTAATTGTTGAGGACATGAAATCCGCCCTTCCAACTATTGGCATACCTGTTCCTTATTGAGGAAAAATTTCTTTCAATATATCTTATGATGGAGCTCCAAACATATAAATTTGGGCATGGGTATGATCTTTGAAGACCGTGCCAGTAACTGCTTCTCATTGGTTGTACAGTTAATAATATTGAAATATATATATATTTTTATGGTTACAAGTAATATTGAAATATCTTAATTCCAAAGAGGTTATCAAACCAATGCCCTTCCGTTGTCTCATTCAGTTACTATATATGACAAAGCGCGCAATTTGTAAATCAACAAAAAAAAATCCCTAACAATTCAAGTGGCGGCGTCCTTTCCTTTTGCCGGCTGGTTATCTTCATGCGTGGACGGCAAAATGACGATGGCAATAGCGACATGGTGGAGCCTCCAATGCAACTATTACAGAGACTGAAATTTTTATTGACGGGGTCATAAATTTGGCAATTGTTTTATGAAGTATTGATATTTGAAGTATTGATATTTTAAGCATTTTTTATCATTACAAGTTATCTACACACTCTAAGGTAAATTTATCTAAATTATTTAAAAAAATATTATAATAAGATTGAAATATTATATATTATAACATGTTTACTTTTATATACCTTATTTTTTTTGTGCACTTGATCTGAATTTCTCGTGTAGTTTCTGTGGATCAGTTTTTTTGGTGGCTCTTTTTTTTTTGGGATCAGTTTAGCGTATATAACAAGGGAAATAATACTCTCATACTACGTGAGAGTAACATCTTTTCCTACACAAATTTATTTTCTGTGCCAATTAGTTTTTTTTTTTTTAATATAAAAGATGAGACCCACATTTAACTTCTTTCTACTTTTTTTCTCTCCTACTATCCTACAACATAAGAAAACTTTAACCCATATAACAATTACCACATGCAAAAGGCATTAAATTTTATTGGATAAAACAATTTTGACGAGTTAAAATTTTAATATAATCATACCAGTACAAAAGTTTCCTGCTTCATTTTAATCAAAACAAGCAGAGAATATACTCTTGGCTGTGGTCGATGGATATTACCTATGTCATTTTACTTTGAAAAAGGTGATAGTATTTGTTTTCTTCCCACTTCTTAATCCTGACTGTTGGCTTAATCATACAGTATTTTTTTTTTTGATAAAGTTTTATTATTTATTTTTTAATATAGCCTTTATTGTTATTTCAAATTTAGCAGTTTTTTTTTGAATAACAATTTTAGCAGTTATTTCAATCTGACAAGGCATATTTCTGATGCATTATTGAGTAGTAGGTAACAATAATTTACATGATTATAAAAAAGCAAATTTCATCATCACTCTATTTTTCTATAATTGATGTGGTACTTAGATGATTCTTTAGCTCTGGAAAAGCACCATCTTCTCCCTTCTAAACTTTTAATTTAAATAAAAACAACTCTATTGTCATATTTTTATTTTTTTTTGATTGCCGTTAGAATTGCTATCTTTTTTTAGAAACTTTATTCCTAACATTGAAAGATTAATTTTTGGAATAAACCAAAATTTATCCGAATAATTTTTTTTTCATAAATATCAAAATTTAGATCACATACTCAGTCTGATTCCTTTTAGATTCTCTTATTGAGTCCACATCTGACCCAATTTATTGAGTCTTACTTCATTCGAACGAATAACAACTTGATAAGATCCCTCAAATCATGGGAAGATTCTCAAATTAGCTCCTACAATCATGATAATGGTAATCTCTGTGATGTCTACGTAAATAGAGGAACCACTCTCCACATTCACATCTTTTAAATTGTGATCTCTGCTTCACCTTAGTCTCAAGATTCAGCCATTGTTGATCAAATCAAGCTCCGACCATTCCAGGTAAGAACATTTTTGTAAATTAGATTTATTTTATATCTCAAAATTTTAAATCAATTTTTATTTAAGCTTGGGAACATAAGATTTAGTGTTTGTCGTTTTAAATAACATAACTTTGTGTCATTTAAAATGATAAATATTTTTTTCCATAATATGCAACCAAGTCTTGTAATAGGTTTATTTTATAATTTTTAATTATGCATTGATTGATAATTGAAAAAAAAATAAAAAAATTTAACAAGTGTTTGATTATTATTTAAAAAAGAAAAGAAAAGATTAGTTGATATATTTTTACTGAACGTCTGAAGGAGGAAGCTATTATTATATGGAGCATGAAAATGCACCCCTTTGATTAAACTTGGTCGGCGGCGCTGGATGAGGGCGAAGCACACCTCAACACCAACACGTGCATTGTTATTATTGGTCTTCGATTTTTTTCTCAATTCCAATTCTGCCCCTACCTTTCCTCAACGGAATTCAGCAGCGTTGGAGGAATAGGGAGAGAGAGAGAGAGAGAGAGACAGGGGCGGTTACTTATATCCGTGTGGTATCGCCGGAATTGTTCTTCGATCGCACCGGAAAAGTATCGATCCTCTCGTCGCCGGAGAGCAGCGATGGTGAACGCCTTGGTGGAACGTGCCACGAGCGACATGCTCATAGGCCCTGATTGGGCCTTGAACCTCGAGATCTGTGACATACTCAATCGTGACCCTGGGTAAGCCTAGAATCGGATTTTCGCTTCCTTTTCCTACCTATTGAGAACACTGTTTTTTATGCTCAATTTTATTCTTCTTCGTTGTGTTTTGATCGAATAGTACTTTTTTTTATATATATATATTTTATGGCAGAATTATAAACAAAAATGATTGAGATTACTTTGATTTTCTGTTTTGAATGAATTCTGATGGTCAAATTATAGTGTGGAATTAGTGTCGATGAGTGAAGATTGCTCTTTCCTACTATTTCTCTGATAGCCTAGTTATGGAGTGGAGTTATAGAGTGGAATTAGTGTTGAAGTTTGGTCTTTCCTACTATTTCTCTTTTGCACTTATTTGTTTCATGATCATGATGGTTGTGATTTCACTTTTGCATTGTCTAAACACCAATGGAACAGCAAAAACTTGGGATAAGAAATTTTGGATTCCAGCCAGAGGTTGGACCTGGGCATTTACTTTTTGACTTGGTGATTGAGATTGTTTTTATCCAAAAATTATTCTTAGGATTGTGTGCTATTGTTCCATAGATTAATTTGATCAAGGGAAAATAGATAATTATTATGAATTCTGCAAATTTGTGTGATGTACTTGCTCCTGCATATGCTGCGTGATGTCTAATTTGCTTCTTGTCAATCAGTTGACAGTTCCCTCCTATAGGACATTATAAACCTTCTAGAAACTACAAAACTAGTAGTTTCGTCTTTCTTCCCATTCGTTTCAACATTAGTATCATTTATATCCCAAATTAGTTCGGGTTCGCAGTTAATGAACCCAAATAAAAAGAAAGAAAAAGTTTATGTTTCAAAATTTGGAAATCGTATATCTGAATATAATATTTATTATGTTTTTACTTTGATTATGAGTTATTTTTATCTTCTGCTAATGGGTTAAAAGGGTAGCATATCTCAATTTATACATATTTATGTTTCTATACACTTCTGAGTCTATACAGTTTGGAGCTGAAATTTTCTTTTTCTTTTTATGGATATCAATGTTTAACTGGATTTTTATGTATAATTTTTTAGTTTGCTTCTTGGTTTAAGAACTCAGTTTGGTTATGATTTATCAGGCAAGCAAAGGATGTTGTTAAAGGTATAAAGAAGCGGATTGGAAGTAAAAATTCAAAAGTTCAACTTCTTGCTCTAACTGTAAGCTCAGATACTTTATTATATACTTTTTCAACTCAGATCTTAACACTGTCCAAGCTGCTTTTGGATTTATGCATCTTTTCTTGATTTACTTTTTCAGATTACATTTTGACCTCATTCTTCTACTCATCCGTTTGATGTTTATCTCTCTTTGTCTGAAATGGACATTTTTTTAAAACAACCATAAGCAGAGAGAGCAGACAATTAAAACCCTGTTAAACTTAGTATAGAAGGAAACTTTCAACTAGTTGGATTCCTTGGATCCACATTTTTCATGTTGAATTGATAAATAACTGGTGGAAGCTTTTGTTATCTATTGACTATTGGGAATGATACAATGGAATTTTACGTAGTTCACTCTTTTGATGTTTACTTATAGAATGAAGAATTCTCAAAGTTCAAATAACATTGTTCTATATCTTACGTATGTTGTTTTCATCTTGGAAAGAAAGAGTTAGTATTAACTTCAGGATATGTCTTTATGGGATTGGATTTTACTAATCTGAAAGGCATCCTCTTAATAGGCGAGTTCTCTGTGTCACACATTCTTCTTCACTCACAAACTCCAATGTCCTTTTTACTGTCATTTTCTAATGATGGGTTAATGATGTATGATAATTCCCTAGGGTTAAATTTGTAGGACTTGAGAAAAATAGGGAGAGAAAAGGATGGGAAAGGATTTGAAACACATCCAAGGAAGAATGTCTTTTGGTAAGAAACCAGAGAAAGTAGAAGAAAAATTAAGAAAAGTCTGAACATCCCCCTTCATTAACCCCATATAGCATAAAAACCCTAATTTATAATTGAAGAAAAGAAGAAGTGGAAGAAGTATTTTATCTGAATAATACTTTCTTGATTCATTGAGAGACCTAATGGGTCCTTTTTATATTGAGTACATCCAACTACCTCAACTACTTTAATAAATATACAACCACCAACTACATCAATAAATATACAACTACCAACTAAATATACAACTACCAACTACATCAATAAATACTATCTAGAATATTCTACATATTCTACACTCCCCCTCAAGTTGGGAGATATATATTGATCATTCCCAACTTGCTGATCAAATTCTCAAAGGTCGGCTTAAGTAATCCTTTGGTGAGGATATCCGCCGTCTGTTCCTTGGTAGGTATATATGTCAAGCATACACTACCGTCTTCTAATTTCTCTTTGATAAAGTGACGATCAACTTCCACATGTTTTGTTCTGTCATGATGAACAGGATTTTGAGCAATGCTGACAGCAACCTTATTATCACAATATAATCTGATAGGTAGGGAATAAGAGATCTTCAACTCCTCCAGAAGCCTTTGTAACCAAATTCCTTCACAAATACCATGGGCTAGAGCCCGAAATTCCGCTTCTGCACTGCTTCTTGCAACAACAGTTTGTTTCTTACTTCTCCAGGTCACAAGGTTTCCCCATACATAAGTACAATATCCTGAAGTAGATCTTCGGTCCATTGCAGAGCCAGCCCAGTCTGCATCTGTATAGATTTCAATCATCCTTTTGTGCCCCTTTTTAAAGAAAATTCCTCGACCAGGGGTATTTTTGTGGTATTTGAGAATTCTATAAACAGCACTAAGGTGTTTTTCCTTAGGAGAATGCATGAATTGACTAACCATGCTCACAACAAAAGCAATATCAGGACGAGTGTGAGACAAATAGATTAATTTTCCCACTAGTCTCTGGTACTGCTCCCTATCAACATCTTCCCCGTCCTCAACTCCCATCTTGATATTAGCTTCAATTGGAGTCTCTGCCGGCTTGCACCCAAGCATACCTGTTTCTTGCAACAGGTCTAGAATGTATTTTTTCTGAGTTAAAGAAATTCCTTCCTTACTCCGAGCAATTTCCATGCCAAGGAAATATTTGAGAGATCCAAGATCTTTTAGTTCAAACTGGTCAGCTAAATATTTTTTTAAAGAAGTTATCTCCTCGCTATCATTACCAGTGACAATTATGTCATCAACATAAACGATCAGAATAGCAATTCTTCCTTTGTCGGAGTGTTTAAAAAATAAAGTGTGATCAGTCTGAGCTTGGGTGAACCCTCTTCCCTTAACAGCTTGAGTAAATTTCCCAAACCATTCTCTGGGAGATTGTTTAAGTCCATAGAGAGACTTCTGCAACTTGCACACAGAACCATCCCCTTTTTCAAAACCAGGAGGTGGATCCATGTAAACTTCCTCATGGAGATCACCATTCAAGAAGGCATTCTTAACATCTAACTGTTGCAATGGCCAATCAAGGTTGGCGGCAAGAGATAGCAGAACGCGGATAGTGTTAAGTTTGGCAACAGGAGCAAATGTCTCCTGATAATCTATCCCATGAGTCTGAGTAAATCCCTTAGCAACTAATCTGGCCTTATACCTATTGATGCTATTGTCTGCATTGAATTTTATTGTGAACACCCACTTGCAACCAACAGTTTTCTTTCCTTTAGGTAATGTCACAAACTCCCATGTTCCATTTTTTGTAAGAGCATCCATTTCTTCTAATACTGCATTCCTCCATTTTGGGTCATCAAGTGCTTCTTGGATATTTTTGGGTATCCTGGTACTATCTAACATAGTGTTGAAAGCACGAAAACCTGGAGACAACTTTTCATATGAGATATAATGGGAAATAGGATGAGCAGTGCAAGATCTAGTACCTTTCCGAAGAGCAATAGGCATATCAACGTTGGGTGTACTAGTACATTCAAGTGGGTTGCTGGAACAAGGACTCGAGTCAGGATCTTGGCAGTCTAGAGTATCTTCATGTGTTTTGCGCCTGCTGTAAAATTTTTCCCATTTACCAGGAGGATCACAAGGAGGATCATTAGATTCAGGTATAGTTGCTCCCCCTGTTTCCTTCCCAATAACTCCACCTGTTTCCAAAGGCCAAGGTAAGACAACAACATCATTTGGTTTCCCAGGCTTATCTTCATCCATACCAATACCAATAGACTCCTCCTGAAGAGAAGTCGGGGAAAAAAAGGATTGTGTCTCATAAAAGGTAACATCCATGGAAACAAAAACCTTACGGAGAGAAGGTGAGTAACACTTATAACCTTTTTGATTAGGGGAATATCCTATGAAGACACATCTGATGGATTTAGGGTCAAGTTTGGACCTTTGATGTGGAGGAATATGCACAAAAACCACACAACCAAATATTTTGGGAGGAAGAGAAGAAAGAGCACTGAAAGAGGGAAAAGATTTAGTAAGACAGGATAAAGGAGAATGAAAATTTAGTACTCGAGAAGGCATCCGATTAATGAGATAACAGGCTGTCAAGACGGCTTCCCACCACAGATATTTAGGGACATGCACCGTGAATAAAAGAGCTCGAGCAACTTCAATTAGATGTCTATTTTTCCTTTCAGCCACCCCATTTTGTTGAGGGGTGTTAGGACAAGAACTTTGATGAATAATTCCATGCTGGTTTAGGTAATCTCTAATAGAATTCTTGAGAGACACCATTGATGAGAGAGAGAGAGAGATTATTTGGATCTGAATCTTTATTATGAAGATCACACCTTACAAAATGCTACACTCTATTAATATATAGAGTGTGAGAATGCTGACTCAGCAAGTGAGTCAGTTCTAACAAACAAACCGTATAACAGAAAGCTAAAACAGAAAGGGAGATGAGGATCAGATATATGCATGTGTACAATAGCAGAAAGTAAACCACTACTTATCTAATACACCCCCGCAAACTCAGGGATCTTGAGGCAGGGAATCAAGAACCCTGAGTTTGGTTCTTAACTCAGCAAAACGTCCAGGGGAAAGAGCCTTAGTCAGAGTATCTGCCAGTTGATCTGAAGCTGGAATGTGCGAGACAACAAGCTCACGAGCAAGCACACGTTCTCGAACAAAGAAGATATCCAATTCCATATGCTTAGTTCGAGCATGCAAAACAGGATTATGAGAGAGGGCAACAGTGCTCAAGTTATCACAGAAAATGCGTGGAGTAACATAGGGAACCTGTAACTCACGAAGGAGGGATTGAACCCACAAAATTTAAGCACAAGTAAGAGCTAAACTTCGATACTCAGCTTCAGTTGTTGAGCGTGCTACCAAGGTTTGTTTCTTGGACCACCAAGAAATGAGGTTAGGACCCAAGAAGAGAGCAGCACCAGATGTAGACCTCCTATCATCAGGGTCACTAGCCCAGTCAGCATCACAAAATGCTGTAATAGAGAGAGGATGTTGAGGAACAGCCCTTTGAAGCACAAGACCATATGTAACAGTTCCTTTTAAATATCTGAGAATTCTTTTAACTATTTTCCAATGATCATCTAGTGGCTGCCCCATGAATTGGCAGACCTTATTGACCGCATAGCTGATTTCTGGACGGGTTATGGTGGCATATTGAAGTGCACCCACAATCGACCTGTAGAGATGAGGATCAGAGAAATAATTAGAGCCAAATCGTGTGAGCTTACAGCTAGTGGGCATGGGAGAGGAGATGCCTTTTGCATCAAACATGGCAGCTCGAGTAAGTAAATCTCGAATGTATTTGCCTTGTGACAGAATCAAACCACCAGAACCATGAGGCTTTACTTCAATTCCAAGAAAGAAATCCAAGGTGCCAAGGTCTTTGAGAGCAAATTGAGAATGAAGCTGAGTAATCAAAAATTGAATGTAGGCAGCATCAGTACCAGTGACTATTATGTCATCCACATACACAAGGATATAAGTGCAGCGAGAAGAAGTCTTGGAGATGAATAAGGAAGGGTCACAGCAGCTGGACTTGAAGCCAAACAGCATCAAAGCACCTTTCAATTTATCAAACCATGCTCTAGGGGCTTGCTTAAGCCCATACAAAGCCTTGTTGAGCTTGCACACAAGGTTCTTATCTGAATTCTCAAAACCAGGGGGCTGACTCATGTACACATCCTCTAGCAAATCACCATTGAGGAAGGCATTATTGATATCAAGTTGCCTAAGTGACCAAGAGTGAGTAAGTGCAAGAGTAAGCATGATCCGAATGGTAAC